AAGATGTCTGATGGCTCAAACACAATAGTTTATTTACCCCTCATAAAAATAAAAGTGGTAATGAAGAGGTCAGTGGTATGGCCCTTCCCAACTTATTTAGGGACACAGATAGTTTCTACCAACTTCAGTCTACAAGATCACACTGTAGTTATCTGAAAGGGAAAAGGACCATAGAGGAACTTGAAGGGAGATTTTTATGGTATACATAAAATGGAAATGGTGCACATGTCATATTCCATTGGCTTGAATTCAGTCACATGACCATTCCTAACTGCAACAGAGTGCACAAAAGAAACAAGCCGCACACAGGAAAAGAACCAGCTTATTGTAACTAGTTATCTCTGCTGCAGATGGCTTTGGCGGGATGTAGGTTATAATGACTTGGTGAAGAACTATTTCAGTGAAGTGATAAGGGTGGAAGCCCAAGAGAACGGGAGGTAAGAAATGAACACATTTTTTTCCTGAGTTTTGCTATGAAGATGAACAGGAATCTGGTAGAAGCTAGAAAGAGATGGAATGTTAAGGGAGAGTTTTATAAGATGATAAGGCATGTTGCCAGTGCAAATAGAATGTATACTATTTTTATCGTTTAAGAAATGGACTCCCAGGTTCACACCATTATGATACAGATGTTTGGTGACCAATAGATCAAAACAGTGTATGGTGAACTTGGTAAAATAAGTGGTATGTTGTACTTAGGTTTCCAAATTCCAGTTGTCTTAATCTCCTTAAAATGTAATGATGTCATTGAATCAACTGACAGATTGAGAACAGAATTACTTTTCTATGGCAAGTATCCTTCCATCAAAGAACCAGAACTTTAAAATAAGTCAGTCCATTTTCTTAATGGAATGGTGGAGTGTATTCACACCTGTATGCTCTATATACTGTACTGAAAAGAATCTTAGTTTTTGCATTCTGAAGATTTTATGCCCTTCTGAAGATTTTATTCACTTGGTGACTCAAAGTGATGCCAAAAATCCATGACTAATCACTCTAATGGGACCTAAGTGAGGTTTTTGACCGCCCCCTCAACAAAACACCCAAACACATTATTTAGGAATACTAAGATACATGGAAAATGATTGTTGCCAGAGCCATTTAACAGATGACTGCTAATGTGAGGAAGAGAATTAGGCCAACTACACTAAAATAAATTTATTTAAAAAGGCAGATTTCTGGGGAGGCAACAAATTTCATATCCTCTGCAGTCTATTTTATAAATGACACAATTCACATACATAAAATCCATCCTTTTAAAGTGTACAATTCAGTGGTTTTCAGTGTATTTACTAAAAAAGTTGTGTGACTATCACTAATTTCAGAACATTTTCATCCTAAAAAGAAATCCTGTACCCATTAGTAGTCACTCCTCATTCCCATCTTCCCCGCAGTCCCTAGTAACCACTAATCTTCTGTGATTTGCCTGTGCTGGATACTTTATATAGTGGAATCATATAATAGGTGGCTTTTTGTGTCTGGCTTCTTTCACTTAGCATAATGTTCACGGTTCATCTCATTCCTTTTTGTGGCCGAGTAGTATTTCATTGCATGGATATACCAAAATTTACCCATTTATTAGTTGATGGACATTTTGAGTTCCACTTTTTGGCTATTATAGAGATCAATGCTGCTATGAACATTCACATACAAGTTTTTATATGAATATTAAGTTTTCATTTTTCTTCAGTATACACTTAGGAGTGGAATTGATAGGTCGTATGATCCTTAGTCTCTTCTAACCTTTAATTCTTTACCATCTCTCAAGCTTTCCTCTCCTGTTGCCAACTTCATGCATTCCCATACTGTTTTCTTTAGATTTTTAGATTGTATTATAGTGTCCCTCTCAACCTCTTTCCCTGCTGTCCATGCTTTTTCATGAAAAGCTCATGACTTTTCATTTTGTCACCTTCACAGTTTTTTTAAACTTAATTTCTGTGACATTTTTCACTAAACTTCAGGTGCCCAAAGGAACAGTCAAACATCCCACCCTTTAGAACTTAGAACTGATCATCATTTTGTGCCATTTCTAAGATTTTTTTCAGCTACAACTTTATTAAGCAAACACACAAAAATGATCTTTGAGGAACTACAGCAGGGTGGGAGTGGAGGAGAAGCATGTTGTTGTTTGGTTGTTAAGTCATTTAGAGCTTTCATGCAAAACCCTGGCAGCCTCCCACCAAGAGGACTTGACATAGCTTTTGGTGGCCAAGGTCAATAATAACCTTGATTACTGAGAACTTTGTTGCCATTTTAAGGAAGGAGTTTTCTTACACTTTAAAAATCTGGTGGGTAAGAAACCTTTATCAGCAGCTTCATAGGGATTATGGAGGTAACATGTCTTAACCACAGAATTGCATGATATTACATTCTTACTGTTTTCCCAAATCCAAAGGGGAGGTTCCAATTTTGCTCCTGATGTTAGTCCCAACTTTTATTGAGTAACACTCAGAGATACAGCTCTGAATCCAGTTGATGAAGATAGTGCCTTTTCTAAGATCTTAAATTCACAAGTGATTCCTTTGACTAATGTTTTCTCCTATCTTACTCCTTTTATTCTTCATGCCTGTGATGACCTCTCCCTCAGTGCCCCTGTATTTTCAGTTTATTTGCTAACTTCTGTGAACATTTGTCTTCCTATCCAGCTGGAACTAATGGCAAGCCATTTCCATGGTGCTGTCTTTATTTTTTATTTTTATTGATTTTAGAGAGAAAGAAACATCAATTTGTTTTTCCACTTGTTTATGCATTTGTTGGTTGATTCTTGTATGTGCCTTGACCAGGGATTGAATATACAACCTTGGCGTATTGGAATGATGCTCTAACCAACTGAGCTACCCAGCCAGGGCAGTGGTGCTTTCTTCATCATCCTTGATTTCTTAACTCCTTTTTTTAATCTGTGCTACAAATTCTCTAAGAGGTATCTTACGTACCAACTATTTTCTCTATTGTTGTCCTTGTGGATGCCAAGTCCCATGAAACAGAGCCAGCTCGTTTCAAGTGGGGCACATTTACTATTTTGAATTCCTTTGATATGAAAATGACTTTTCTCTCATAACTACCCATTTCAAGGCATTTCTGCCTTTAAATCTTAAGACTTAATCTCACCGTTATATTTTATACAAAAATTATTTTACTGAGAAGATCTAGGCCAGCTGAAGTGTCTGCCCAACACCTTCTCAGTTTTTCTTTAAACTCCTTCTCTAACCCTCCTCAAAGCTAAGCCCTTTTTATACTTTATTACCTTCTCTTCACTACCTGTCCTTGGTTTTTCATTAATTATTCCTTTTCTTACCTCTTTAAAGCCTTTCTCTCCATTCTTTTTCTCTACAAAGATTTCCCTGTTTCAAAAAAAAAAAAAAAGCCCCCACCTAATCCTGCATCTACATAATGCTACCTCCTCTTTTGCAAAAATGTCAGTGACTTTACCCAGGATGTGTAATTCTTGAATACTCTGTCTCCTTTACAGCTGGCTTTCAGACTCAATTCTTTTAAAACTTGTTTTCTCAAGCCCTGTCCTGGTGCATTAGGGAGGCAACTAATCTTGCCTCTCTTTCTTATCAATGTTTCTCTCCCTTCCTCTCTCTCTAAAAACAATGAAAAAATGTCCTCTGGTGAGGGAAAACATGGTTATGTTGTTGAATCTTTTTGTAAAGTTGCAAAAGCAAAATATGTTTGCATTTTTGTCAAGTTTCATGCCCCCAAAACCTGGATTTGCGACTTTATAAAGGGAATTTGCCCCTATATCCTATAGAGGTAACAAAATTGAGAATGCCCCCAACCCCAACTTGGTTACAGCAAAGAACGGAGCTAATTACTATATTAAAACGTATCTTGGATCGACCAAAGAATTACATTCTTTCCATATCCAGGTCCCCGGTCTGGACATTATTACAGGTTCAGGAACTAGATTTTAAGCAGTTTGACCATGGTAATCAAGCACTGGGAGATTAATTCATGCTAACCAAACTCACGAAAATTTAATTTATAAACCAAACATTTACTTCTTAGTATATAAAATGGAATTAATTCCTTAGTATTGACTATGGATATAAATATCTGCTATCCAGAGTACTCTTCTTTGGATCAAGATAGAGACCAAATATGATTATAAAATGTTTACTTTTCATGTTTTAATGTGAAAATAACAGTTCTGAAGGCCTCCTCACTGCAGGGGAATGGCCTAAACTCCAATTTCGTTGAAAACGAGGAAAACTCTTTCTTTGACCTCATCATGTGCATGACTCTGACCTACCAATCCTGCCTGGTTACATATGGATCGAGTTCGTCTGTGCTCAAAGATCGTACCCCAACTGTACCCTATTTAGCTGCCATTGGCCAGTGTTGTTCATCTCTTCTAGGTCTCCAACCTTCCTAGCCCTTTCATTTCATTCATGTTATCTCCATTTCCCTCATCTGCAGTGCCTAGGTTATCCTCAGTGTCCCTCCTAACGTCAGTCCTGTCGTCACCCACCTACTTTAACCTTGACTCACCCATTAATCACCTCCTAGACTGATACCCTCATCCCCTACCTGGCCCAGACTGGCCCCAACGCTCACACCGAACCTTCCCAAGTGAGGACTTTGGGGGCTACTCCCCTCCCCTGCCGGGAAGCTGTGGGAAACGCTTCATCGGGCTTTTTGCATGGTCTCCCTCTTCCATTTTTCCCCCAGTCCTACAAACCACTACCACTTTTACCCTCTCGGTGAGCACCATAATCGTCTCTTGGGCTCATTAACAAGGACAAGTCTCCCGGGGAAGGCAGAAAGGTATCTCCTTACTTGAGAATGTAGTTACGTCCAGAAGCTGCCGCGGGCACCTCAGCGAAAAGAACCCGGGCGGAGCCCAGGTGTAGGGGAAGGGTGGTTGGCGCTAAGCCAATCATAGCTCATGACGACAGGGCGCAGCCAATCAGAATATGGGATGCTTGGCGCAGGGTAAAGACCCACCCCCTTGCAGCTGGGTGGCCAACGCCTTCGCCCAGGGCTAGCTGGAACAGAGCAGGTTCACAGAATCCAGGGACTGGGCACCTTCCGAGCTGGGAAAAGGTGCCCTCCCACTCCAACTAATTTCTCTACAAGCCTTGGTTTTAACAGGTGTCGGTGCCTACCGTGGACGCATTCTTACCTGGGCCCTATCTCTCTCTGGAGACTTTATGCCTATGGTTGGCGGCGGAGTGAGGTCGTTGCCTTGACGACGACAGCATGCGACCCGTGGTCCTTCGATGTGTGAGCTTGGGGCAGGCCGAGGCCAATCTGCCTCCGTGCCTGCTTCACCTGGGACCCGTGACTGTGTCTGCTTAAAGAAGCGTATTAGCACTAAAATTGGTAGTTTGCTAATCAGCATCCTTTATACCTGCGAGCGAGATGAATTTCAGCTCACATTTGTTTCCAAGTTGAAAACCTTTGGGTCTTTCCACGTGAGAGGATATTAAAGAAACAGTAAGTATATACTTTTAAAGTCTTATATTATCTAGCTTTCATGTGTAATAGATTTCAATCTCTAACAAAATAAAAAATTAGTATTATTTTAATCTAAATTAAATAGTTGGTATTCTAAATTGTTGGTATTGGAACCATATGCTTAACGTGGCACACATCCAGAAATACCACATTGCCAAATTGGCAGGCTTCGTTTGTATTACCCTTACATTCAGGAGTAGAAGGCATGAAAACTTACGGTTCAAGAGTAACTGTTTCAGGAAACAAGAGGCTTTTAAAGCCGTGATACTTTTCAGGTATTTGCAGGGAGTGCCATTTGAAAAATAGGTATGTTCAATGTGCTGTGACCCGGTGTGCAGGTGGCTGCAAGAATAAATTTGGAGTAGTCAACTTATATAATGTTAGCTTATGATATCCTTCAGAACATCTTAGATGTGCTTAAGGTAATTTTAATTTCATTTACTTTGCATTTTCAAATGTTGAGGATACCAGTTGCAAAATGTTTTTAAATGATGCAGGTTATAGACTCCATCTATGTTTGTCCTTGACATGATAAACCTAAAGTGTGGTCTTTGATAAAACATACTGTCTTAGTGGAAGGAAAAATAATTAAGGAAAGAAGACATAAAGTTACATTGAGAAGTTTTTTTCAAACACAGACATTTTCTTTGAAAATAGTTAATAGACATTAAATGGAGGTTAAAACATCAAATGTATGGAAAGTAGTGTTGGGGCACTGCTGTGTAAAGAGTTTATAACCTATTATCAAAGCTGGTAGTAAAAAAGTGAAATAATTTGAGTTGGTGGTGACTAGGATTTATTTTCATTCACCCCCTCACCCCCAGATCAATCTCTGGTTCCATGTATGTCTGTATTAAAAAACCCTAAATTATTATGTGTATAATGCTAAAAATGTATTCATTGGATTATCATAATTTGCTACAATGAAGAGGATATTTGTATGGTCTTTCTCATCAGTGTATCAAAAGGGAAGCAAGTAAAACATCACAATTCACAATCTGGGTAAATTAGTCTTAGATTGCCATAAATACAAAATGCAATAGTTGAGAATATTTTTCCCTAAGTTTAATGAATGAATGTTTTTGTATTGTCGGATTTGTAAAAATTTACCTATGAGTCATCATTTGAATACATAGTTACCTAAAGATATTTTTTACTCCTCAAACTTTTAGGACCATATTGGGATTAAGAACCATGTTTTTTACTTTTTGGTTCTAGAATTTAATTGCAACACTAGATTTAAAAATGAATTCAACTTTGAAATTGTAGGTTATTAGCCTTTATATTTATTTCATGGCAATAAAAACTTACGAATTAAAATCTATCTGTTTTTGAGCTGAAGAGTTTTTTTTTCTGGGTAAAATAAGGATTTTATTAAGATTGTCTTTAGAAAATCACATGTAGTGGGAATATAAAAGAATTTTAAACACAAAATTCAAATGATCATTCTCATAGTGACTAATCATTAAAAGGAGTTTTGAAATGCTGTATTTGGTACTACTATTTCATTTGTAAAAATCTGCCTATGTACTGTGATGTCATTGCTGTTATTTTGTAAATTAAATATAGGAATTTAATTACTATAGTAAGAAAAGTAAAGGAAAAAAGTTTATTAAAGATTCTTAGTGTTTACTTGGTAAGTGATCATTTTGTGAACAAATGTTTTTCCCAATTCAGTAAAGAGTGTATAAAAATTTTCAACTTTGATCTTTTAATCTTGATGTAAAAAAACATTAAATATGATCTTCATGAAACCAAATTCACCTGTGCATTTTTCACCTTTGAGTGAAAAGAAATTGTGTTTTTGTAAAGTGAGCTATAATTGTTTTGTACTATAGTTTAAGTATTCCTATATTTGAATTAAAAATATATTGAATTTCATTAACATGACATTTAGTCATTTAAATTTAAAGTTAATGGCTTTAGTTACATTGGTGTTGTCTATTATGAAATGGATATGAATATTTTGAAAACATAACTTAGAATTGAAAACCATAAGAAATTGTGAGACGGCAAAGGAGAGCCATCAACTCAGTGACTGCTCTAACATAGAAAACAAGTTGGGGAAGAACTAATTTGCTGAGAGGGTGGGGAAGATCAACATATTCAGCATTATTAAGCTCTATGTTTTGGTTTCTACAGCAAGAAAAAATTCTCCTGGTTTTGAGTCAAAATGGAAAAATATGAGAACCTAGGATTGGTTGGAGAAGGGAGTTACGGAATGGTGATGAAGTGTAGGAATAAAGATAGTGGAAGAATTGTAGCCATCAAGAAGTTCTTAGAAAGTGATGATGACAAAATGGTTAAAAAAATTGCTATGCGAGAAATCAAGTTACTAAAGGTGAGTAAATACATATATTTTGTTTAAAAATGAGTTGTTTCTTGATCAAGATTACATTTTGGGGGAAAAAATACTGTTTAAAGTATAAATTTCTTTTGTGACAAATAAAATGATTATATATGGACATTCATTTATATCATGACTATAAACATAATTTTTAAACTATTTGTTGCTTTTCTCTATATCTACCTGCCTATCTACCTACCTACCTAGATAGATAGAGCTAGCTAGTTATCATCTGTATTGGGACCACCTCAAGGCTCAGTGATTCACTAGGAGGACTCACAGCACTCAGCAATCACTGTGTTCATGGCTATGACTTAATCACAGTCAAAGGATGTAAAGCAACATCAGGAAGTGGAGAAGGCACATAGAGTGAATTTCAGAGGTAGACCTGTTACAGGCTTCCAAAAATCCTCTTCTAGTGGAGTCACGCAGGGCACACTTATTTCCCCCAGGAAGGAGTTGGGATACCATATATGAAATATTGTCTACCAAGGAAATTCATTAGTGACTCAGTGTGCAGGATTTTTATTGGTGGCTGGTCATGTAGTCACCTCTGCCTGGCTTGTACCAGAATTCCAGACTACCAGAACGAATGCAGGTATTCAGTATAAACAGTATTGTTTGTACATTGAGCCATTTTTATCAATTCTGGAGATGAAGGGAACCCTCCTGAAATCCAAGTTCCTAGGACTGGCCAAGGGCTCACTTTGCAAGCAGGCCAGTCTAAGGATAGCAGTCTCAAGCAGGCTATGTTAGCTCATCTCCCTCCTCTCTCTCTCTCCCACCCTCCCTCCCTCTCTCTCTCTCTCTCTCTCTCTCCCCCCCACCTTCCTCTCTCTCTTTTTAATCTGTCTCATGAGAAGTTTATCAATTTTATTTATATTTAGCACCTATGTTTAGCTTTATTGATCTTCCCTATTATGTATTTCTTATCTATTTCATGTTTTTGTTCTTTAGTTTTTCATTCCTTTTACTTATTTTGGGTGGGTTTATTTTGTAGTTCTTTTTTTTTTAATTTTTTTTATTGATTATGCTATTACATTTGTCCTTTTTCCCCCCTTCCCTCCCCTCCACCCTGTACCCCCCTCTCCCACCCACGTTCCCCCCCTTTAGTTCACTTCCATGTGCAAGTCTTATGAGTTCTTTAGCTTCTACCTTTCCCGTACTATTCTTGCCCTCCCCCTATCTATTTTCAACCTACATTCTATGCTACTTATTCTCTATACCTTTCCCCCCTCCCCTACTCCCACCCCCCCCTGCTGCTAGCCCTCCATGTGCCCTCCAGTTCTGTGGATCTGTTCCTGTTCTAGTTGTTTACTTAGTTTCTTTTGGTTTTGCTTTAGGTGTAGTTGTTAATAATTGTGAGTTTGCTGTCCTTTTACTATACATGTCTTTTCTTTATCTTCTTTTCTTAGATAAGTCCCTTTAGCATTTCATAAAATAAGGGCTTGGTGATGATGAACTCCTTTAATTTGACCTTATCTGAAAAGCACTTTATCTTCCCTTCCATTCTCAATGACAGCTTTGCTGGATAGAGCAATCTGGGATGTAGGTCCTTGTCTTTCATGACTTGGAATATTTCTTTCCAGCCCCTTCTTGCCTGTAAGGTCTCTTTGGAGAAATCAGCTGACAGTCTGATGGGAACTCCTTTGTAGGTTACTGTCCCCTTATCTCTTGCTGCTTCTAGGATTCTCTCCTTCGTTTTTACCTTGGCTAATGTAATTATGATGTGCCTTGGTGTGTTTCTTCTTGGGTCCAACTTCTTTGGGGGCTCTCTGAGCTTCTTGGATTTCTTGGAAGACTGTTTCCTTTGCCAGATTGGGGAAGTTCTCCTTTATTATTTGTTCAAGTAACTTTTCCACTTGTTGCTCCTCCCCTTCTGGTACCCCTATAATTCGAATGTTGGAACGTTTAAAGGTGTCTTGGATGATCCCAAGGCTCTCCTCGATTTTTTTAATTCTTATTTCATCATGCTTTCCTGCTTGGTTGATTCTATCTTCCTTCTGGTCCACTGTATTGTTTTGAGACTCAGATTCCTTCCTTTCTCTATTGGCTCTCCTCCGCATATCTTCCTGCATCTCTTTTATGGTAACCTGCATCCTTTCATCTAAATTGCGCCCAAAATCAACCAATTCCGTGAGCTTTCTAATCACCAGCGTTTTGAACTGTGCATCTGATAGATTGGCTATTTCTTGGTCGCTCAAAAGGATGAGTCCTGGGGGACTGATCTGCTCTGTTGCACACATGTCTTATGTCTTTCCCTGTCTCTCCTTTTTTTTTTTTTTTTTTTCGGTCTGGTCGCTCTTGTTAAGGTGGGGGGCGGAGCCTTAGGTGTTCACCGGGGCTGGGCGCCCCAGTCGCTAGATTGTGACGTTATATGTGGGGGCGGGGGCGGGGGCGGGGGCGGGGCGGGGGGCGGGGGCGGGGGGCGGGGGGCGGGGGCGGGGGCGGGGGCGGGGGCGGGGGCGGGGGCGAATCAATGGCGGCAGTTCAATTCTCCTGGGCCCAGACCTTTCCCCGGGCTCCTGGGTTGCGAGCTCTGCCCTGGTCCACAATCGCTGCCCCACTGGTTCCGGCAGCCGCAGCTTGCGTACTCAGGGTCCACCGCTGCGTTCCTGCGTCCCGATGGCTGTCGTGCCGATTCCGCGCCAAATTTCCCCCGACCTCCGTGCGCTGCCGACTCAGCGCCAGCCCCGCGCCCGCTCGGCTCGTTGTCTCCTACCAGTCTGGATGTACGGGTCTACTTCAACTTCTTGGCTGTCCGACTTCCATTCAGATGAATCCCCTGTCGGTTCTGGGTGTTATGCTGACTGTATTTTATTGTTGTTCTAATCTTGGTTGTGCGAGGAGGTACGGTGCGTCCACCTATTCCTCCATCTTGCCGGAAGTCCTATTTTGTAGTTCTTTTTCCTAACCTGTTGATATAGGTGCTTATTTCTTATATTTCCAGCTCCCCTGCCCTCATTAATGCATTTAAGGCTATAAATTTCCCTCTCAGAACAGTTTTGGTATGTATCACAGAAATTTTGATTGGCAGTTTAAAATATTTTCTTATTTCCCTTAATTTCCAAACATGTGGAAGTTTCCAACGTTTTCCTCCCCTGATTTTTTACTTGTGACACAATTGTTCTGTGATCTGAATATATACTATGTAAGATTGCATTCTTTTGAAATTTCTTGATATGTGCTTTTTGGTTCTGAATATAGAAAACAGAAATAATTCATCATGTGTTTGAAAAGTATTTCATTAAGTTAGCTTTAGTACCAGCATTTACGAAATCTTCTAAATTCTCACCAACTTCTTTGTGTGTGTGCTTGTTCTATCCAGTACTGAGAAGAAATATGTTAAAATCTTCCTCTGTGATTATTGATTTCTCCTTTTTTCATTGTAATTCAGTTAAGGTTTAACTTTATAAACAGAAAGGCCATATTATTAGTGTAGAATACTATATTTTGAATTTATATGTTCATGTTGAATCAAATCTTTTATTTTCATGGAATAACTTTATTATAGTAGTGCTTTTTTTCTTAAAAGTCTTTTTTGTCTGAAACTAATAAGTTATGCTAGTTTAATTTTGGATAGCATTTGCATAGTATATTTTTTCCATTTTTTTACTTTCAGTTTTTCTCAGTCCTTGTTTAGATGTGTCTCTTGTGAATATATAGTTACATTTTGATTTTTATCGTGTTTTACAATCTTTGCATTTCAGCTGGAATAGTTAGTCCATCTACCTGTAATATAATTTCTGATATATTTGGGTATAAATCTACCCAAATTAATATATACTATTTGTCTTACTGGTTCTGTATTCTTTTATTCTTTCTGTCTTTGAATTGATTATATTTATCATTTGCTTTCCTCAAATAATTAGAAAATTATATATTTTTCTATCTTTTAGTGGTTATCCTACACATTTATTAAAGTTTAACAGTATCCATTACTTTTATCCTTCTTCTAAACCTTGCAATGCTTATGTTTGGTTATTCTTTTTTATATTTTATGCTAATATTGTCATATATTAACCCTTATATATATTTTTAAACACCAGAAAACATAACTATTATTAAGTGTTTGTTTAGGTTTTTTTTACCTCTTTGTTCTCCCTTCTTTTCTTCATTTAAGATTATTTATCTGTGATCTCTTGTTAAAAAGCTCCCTAGTGAGGATCTACTGTAGATAAAACATTTTTAATTTACATGAAAATGTCTTTATTTTGTTATTATTTATGAAGGATATTTTTGCTGGGTATGGAATTTTAAGTTGGCGATTGTTTTCTTTTAACAAAATGAAACTAACATTGTTTTGTCATCTGGCTTCCATTGTGGCTTCTGAGAAGTCAGCTGTCAGTCCAGTGGTTGCTCTTTTGTAAATCTGTTTTTTCATGTCTGGATTTTTTCTTTTTAAGATTTTATTTATTTATTTATTTATTTATTTATTTATTTATTTATTTTTAAAGAGAGGGGAATGGAAGGAGAAAGAGGGGTAGAGAAACATCAATGTGTGGTTGCTCTCACATGCCCCCAACTGTGGACCAGGCCTGCTACCCAGGCATGTGCCCCTACCAGGGATCGAACTGGCATTCATAGGCCTGTGCTCAATCCACTGAGCCACTCCAGCCAAGGCAGGATCTTCTTTTTTTTCCAACTTTTTATTGACATATACCTATAGAAAAGTATACATATCATAAGAATATATCTGGATTTTACAAAAACTGAACAACCCCATGTAACTCCAATCTAAACTAAGAAAGAGAATACTAAAATAACCCCAGAAGTACCCCCAGCCCCCATGCCTTCTTCAGCCACTGCTGCCTTTGCCTTCCACTCAGGCGGCATCTATCCTGACTGCAGTCGGCATAAGTTAGTTTTATTTTCTGGAAACTATTTTCTGGAAGGTTGGCTTTTGTTTTGTTTTGTTTTGTTTTTCCTTTTTGGGGTATGTCACCAACTTTGGAGAACTCTGCTCTGCCAGCTTTGTGGCCACAGATGATTTCTTGGTATCTTCCTAAACCTTGACTACATTGGCAGTTTCATCTCATTTGTTGTGGGTAGGGGTCATAGATCCTACCTGGTTTCATCCAAGATGGAACTATTTTTCTCTTTCTCATTGGCTTTACTGTGCTCTCTGTGAGGATGACAGAGCAATGTGAATCTTTTAACTATAATTTTAAAAACAGACTATATGTTTATAATGTATACTGTTTGTGCATTTTATTTATGTCTTTCTTATGCTAAGATCTATTTTATATTGCGACTAATTGCTAATCATTTGATCTTATAAAAACTATTTTTGCATTTTTTTAATAACAGCAACTGAGGCATGAAAATCTGGTGAATCTTTTGGAAGTGTGTAAGAAGAAAAAACGATGGTACCTAGTCTTTGAGTTTGTTGACCATACCATTCTTGATGACTTGGAACTCTTTCCAAATGGACTAGATTACCAAGTAGTTCAAAAGTATTTGTTTCAGATTATTAATGGAATTGGATTTTGTCATAGTCACAATGTAAGTATTTAGTTTAAATAATTATTTTGCTAATGATTGACCCTCCAGATACCAGTCATGTAACTTAATGAGATACTTATTTAAAGTTTGGAGCAGTAAAGTCATAGAAATGAACTGTTAACTCTGATACGGCCGGTTTTCATGTGTCACAATACATGTATCCTTGCCCCTGACATTTTATTAGGAAAAGTTTAGGCCATAACTGAAAAGTTGACAGAGTGCCTTGAACACCCATATACCTACCACATGGATTGTATACTTGTTAATATTTTGCTGTATTTTTATGATGTATTTGTTTATCAATTCATATACTTATCTATCTATTAATGTCTTATATATGTATCCATAAGTAAATTATCAATATCAGTACACTTCAACTCTAAATACTTCAGCCATGCATATTAACTATAGTTTCATATTTGCTTTTTTTTGAGATGACATTTACTGAGTGAAATGCACAAATTTTAAGTGATGAGTTTTGACAAATATATACACCCAAGGATCCTTGTATATGTTCGCTCAGATTCTCTCACAGAGCTGTGCAGCATAAAAATCCCTGTTCTTACCCTAGAGTCTATCACAATGATTTTATGTTCTTTGTATATCATATAAAAGCACCTCTAGGTAAAATGATGCAAAGTGCAAAATGAATCACTTAACACACTTATTCTTCCAGTTTTACAAAATATTTTAAATGACATTTTTTTTGTGATTATAAAAGTAACAGATGGTAATGGAGGAGATGGGGCTGGCCCTGTGAGCTTGCCGTGGATGTCTAGGATGTAATGGAAGTTGGTAGCCTATGCAAAATGCTCAGCAATGGCAGGTTGCCATTTAGGATGCTGGTACTCTGAAAGAGTTTTAAAAATACATATATATATTTTTTTTCAAAATATAGTCTTCTTGTATTAGAGAATTAGGCGTAATATTTTGTTTTGCCTAACTATAGAATTTTTAGTATTCTCACCTATTGTCCTTATTTTCTCTTTTAGAAACCTTGATCTCTGACCTTGTTGACCCTCTTTACATTTCTAATTGCCTGAGTAATGCCTCCACCTAGATGCTTGGCAGTCTACATAAAAGCCCTTGTGGCTAAAACTAAAATAATCATTCCATCAAAACTAACTTTTTTTAGACTTTAATTTTTGGTAATGAAGCCACCATTTTTTAGATTTCTAGGTTTAAAGAAAATATCTGAGATTACTTCCTAAGCTCTATGGGTAGTTGATTTAAAATATTTCTAAACTATGTCTCTTCCTTTCCATTCCTCTGAGCACCAGCCTGATTTAGGCCCTTATCATCTCCTAGTTGTCCTTCTGCTCTTTTCCCTGCCTTTAGTGCCTCTCTCTGACTTAGCTTGTTTATGGCCAACACCTTTAAACACCATATTGGTCAGGCCATTTCCATGGGCTCCCAGAGCCTTGACAGAAGCTCAGACTTCTCAGCCTGGGAGTTGAGGCATGCTTCCTCCCTAGAGCATAACCTCTGCTCAGGAAGTAACATTTCTCCTGAGTCTCCTGACCTATTTCTATCTGCACTCTTTTCCTCTCTTTGTTACCTTCACTTGGATTGCCCTTTCATTTCGACATTTATCCAGGCCATTCTTAGCATTAAAGGCCTATCTTACAGCCCACCCCTTTCATAAAATTTTTCCTAGACCACGCAATCTTCAGTTATCACTTTACTACTCTTTTAGTCTTGGGAACGGTCACTAGTTAACAGAACAATTGATTTGGTAATTAATAATATATGTCTCATCTAGTATCTTTGTTTATATAAAATTTTAAGCATAAATATGTTGTGCCCAAATGGGTTTCAGATTTTGAAGAACCAGAAACAATTTTATATGCTTTTATTTATGTTTATTATGGGGACAAAAACAGTGCCCTGCACATGGCAGGTACTCAAAATAATTAATTCGCTTAACTTGACATGCCAATACATGGCATGTCTGTTTTTTGTCTTAGATCATACACAGAGATATCAAGCCAGAGAATATATTGGTCTCCCAGTCTGGTGTTGTCAAGTTATGTGATTTTGGATTTGCACGGACACTGGCAGCTCCTGGGGAAGTTTACACTGATTATGTGGCAACCCGGTGGTACAGAGCTCCGGAACTATTGGTTGGGGATGTCAAGTATGGCAAGTAAGAAATCATGGTGGTGGGGGGTGGTTAATATGTTTCTAATACAATAAAAGATTTCTCTAACACTAAAAGGAAGTTTTGAATTTAGGAAGCTTTATAAAGTGATTTGTAATTTTGATTCTTCCCCTTTAAAAGTTCTTGTGAAACAACTTGGGGTGAGTATACTTATTTTAAGGGTAGGGAAATCAAGGTGAGCAAGTGGTCTGTTTTGCTTTTTGTTTTTCTTATTGTGGTTTGGAAACATATATTATTTTTCACTCATAAAGAGATGTAACATTGACTGGATAAATCTGACCATTGAAATGAGGCAAGGTGGAATGGGCAAGGGTTGGGGTAGAAATAATGGAGTGAAATGTTTTTAAAACATAAATTGTTCCATAAATGAATTTATCAAAGAAGAAGGGATTGTAACTTTTACTGATTTTATAGAAATCTTTAAAAAATATTTTCTATAATTTCTGTTTTCAGAGTACACATCCTTTAATATTACCTTGATTACTTTGAGTTCTGATTTTATGGCCATACTATAACTTTTATATCATTTTATAGTTCAGCTATGACCTTGAGCAATTTCAAGGTAGTTGTCCTTATGTTAATCATGCCAGCACATTCTTTAAGTTCTTGTGACTGATTTTAAAGACAGTTTTTCTATTTTGTTCTCCTATTAGCTTTCAGTTCTCCTTCTTGTCACTGTATGTGTCCTTGTGTCCCTGATGACCACCTCCTTCTGGTGGTTTTCAGAATATCCCTCCTTCTGGTGGGATAGACTGATTAACTGGTTAGAGTTATGTGTAAACAAAGAATGAATAGGTTCTAAATGGAAACCCAAAAGGCTTATTTTCAGAATAAAGTACACATAACTGTTGTGACTTTTCAGAAGCCTTTTTTCTCTGTCACATGACTCAAGTTTCTGGAAATCTGACTTAAATAAAATTGAGAATTAGAACTTTAGGCTTATAGGAAAACATCTTTTCATAGGTAATGTAAGGCTTGCTCCTACTGTTCTCAATACCTAGAATACTAAATAGTAATATGCAAAGCAGAGTCAGTCACAGTAAACACATTAGGATGCCAGATTTTACACCACATTGCTTTTCCTTTAGGGCTGTTGATGTGTGGGCCATCGGCTGCCTGGTAACTGAAATGCTCATGGGGGAGCCCCTCTTTCCTGGAGATTCTGATATTGATCAGCTATATCATATTATGATGTGTTTGGGTAAGCTTATATATTTGTATGTTAAATGTTAGAGGGTTTTGGTTTCCTATTTTTTTTTTTTTGCTTGTATTGATTTTACAAAATAGGAAGCAAATAAGAAAACTACATATATATATTCATTCATTCTCAGTCCTGCTGTGGTCGGTGTGACTTATGTTCTAATCATGCTCTTGCCCCACTTGCCCTTCAAGTAAAGAGCAAAGGTTGTACATATCTTCACTTTTATATTCAGTAAGTCACACATAGAGAGGATGCAAATACTCAGTTATTACCTATGGGTCAACAAGCATTTGGTGTTACATGACTATACCCTCATCCTCACCTTCAAATTGAGAAACAAAGAGACTTTGGAGGTAGTTTAATCTTGTTGCAGATATGACCTTTGTTGTTAGTGCTTTGGCTAGAATGTCAATGCTAGACTAGCAAAGTCTTCTTAACTTCATGTTGGGAGGTAGAGCTTGGAACAAGGAAATAATGGTAAAATACTTGGGGGCTATTTAACTATTGGCTTTTAAGTTTCCAGGTTAGAAATTCAATAAACAATATAATAGTTTTATGTATATTTTATGCTCAAATAAGTATTGAAGTTGAGAAAAAAGATAAAATGCTCAAGTCAGACCTTAGACATAGTTACAAAATCAGTTGACCAAAAATTAAATTCCTGAATGGTAGGACTGATTTATCTAGATTAGATTTGGGCCATACGACTATTAATATTTTCATTGTTTCAGTCAGCACTTTTATGCTTCGTTGCTAGAAATGAAGTGCTAGTGGTTATATTTTTAAAAATTATAAAATGTTCTCTATCTCTCCTTTTCCTATGCATCCCCCAGTGTTCACTGGCATATGAACTTCTCTAAATGAGTATGTTGAGATAAGAATGTTCATTTCCGGCAATTGATTTATGTCAAAACCTCTGTAAAGACTGCCAGGTGCCACCAAAGTAAGAGCACTGTCTTCGGTTGACTTCGCAGGCTGAAAGAGCCCCACTTCCATAAGTGGTGTTCCGCTCCTTTCTCTACTCCCCGTCACCTGTCTCTGCCATTTCTATCATGATGAATAATGACAATAATGACAGAGATGTGTGCTGTTCTCACCGCCAGGTAATCTCATTCCAAGACATCAAGAGCTATTTTATAAAAATCCTGCATTTGCTGGAGTAAGGTTGCCTGAAATCAAGGAAATGGAACCTCTTGAAAGACGCTATCCCAAGCTCCCTGAAGTTGTGATAGATTTAGCAAAGGTAATCATACTTTTTCTTTCACTAACAGGGAATTTATATTATGGAGACTTGGCCTTTTCTTCTTTTTTTCTTGTCCAGTTGATTGTTTAGGTCAACAACTTTGTGTAGGGGGAGGACTGGGGGGCTGGCTTCAGAGATAAAGACCTGAAAATTTCACTCAGGACACCATTTAGGATTAGTTATCTAGCATGTTTTAAGTGTGAAAACATCCTCACAATGATATGTTTTTAATGTTTAACATTTAAAATGCAAGCCATGTTTAAGTGGGAAAAAGAAGAAAAGCAGGATAAGAAAATAAAAAAAGAAAAGAGTAGTGGGAAGATTAAGTAAAGTGTAGGGCATAGGATCATGACCCCTGGTATCTTATTAAACAGAGAAGGACAGATAACTATGCTTGGTCTCAGCCAAAAGGCTGACAAGCAATCTGTGGTGTATTGTTAGAGAAGCGTTTGTTTAGCTGTTGAGTTTGCTAAAGCTAATTTACAAATCATCATTCCCTTTGCCTTGTTTGTGATTGAGGAATATTAGGGAGAGTCTCAATGGAGCAAATAGTCTATGGAAGTGGACATTTGGGAATTATTAGCTCAAAAATTCTTATTAGTTAGGATTGTCCTAAAGTATTGGTAGAATAAATATCTCTAAGACACCAGGATCACATAACATTTATATAAGATTTTTTTTGCTTTTTAAATTTTCTATGTAGCTCATTTAAATAATTTAGTGAGCTTATAACTAATTGTAGTAAGTTCTTAACATAATACATTTCTACTTTTCTATATAATGTTTTAACACATGCAAATATTATCATTGAGACCAGCTTTATGATCTGTATATAAAGTGATTTAAAGGGAATAAAAATGAAATTATTGTCTAACTTATGTCCCCTATAGTAGAAAAATACAACTTTTAAAACATTTGATTGTATAAATTTTCAAACAGAAAAAAGATACAAAGAATAATAGTATAATGAACCCTTTTATATTTGTTATCTAACTTCATCAATTAACAACCTCTTGAACTTCCAGTCAAGATGGAGGGGTAGGTAGCTCTTTAACTGGAGTTTTGATCTGTTCTTTTATTGGGCCATATTTCTTTGTCAGGTTTTGACAGCTTATCATAGGTTAAAGATAAACAGAAACTCTTAAAAGAAGCAAGAGAAAAGCAGATAGTTACATACAAAGGCATTCCCACAAGACTGTCAGTTAATTTCTCAAAAGAAATTTTGCAGATTGGATAGGACTGGCAAGAAGTATTCAAAGTGGTGAAAAGCAAGAACCTACAACCTAGATTACTCTATCCAGAAAAGCTATTATTTAGAATTGAAGAATTGAAGGGCAGATAAAGTACTTCCCAGAGAAGGTAAAGCTAAAGGAGTTCATCATCACCCAGCCATTATTATATGAAACGTTAAAGGGACTTATGTAAGAAAAAGAAGAAGATCAAAATTATGAACACTAAAATGGCAATAAATTCACAACTATCAACAACTGAATCTAAAAAAAAAAAGAAAAAAATAAGGTCAAGTTAAAGGAGTTCATCACTAAAGCCTTATTATATGAAATGTTAAAGGGACTTATCTAAAAAAAAGAAGAAGATGAAAAATATGAACAGTAGCCCTGGCTAGTGTGGCTCAGTGATTGAGTGCTGACCTGTGAATCCAAGGGTCACCTGTTCCACTTCCAGTCTAAGGCATATGCCTAGGTTGTGGGCCAGGTCCCTGGTAGGGGGCGTATGAGGGGCAACCACACATTGATGTTTCCCCCTATTTCTCCCTCCCTTTCCCTCTCTAAAAAATAAATAAAATCTTTAAAAAATATATGAACAGTAAAATGACAACAAACTCACAACTATCAACAACTGAACCTAAAAAAAATAATGAAAACGGAAACAAACTAAGCAAACAACTAGAACAGGAACAAAACCACAGAAATGGAGATCACATGGAGTGTTATCAACAGAGGGGGCACTGGGAGAATGGGGGAAAGGTATAGGGAATAAGTAGCATAAATGGTAGGTAGAAAATAGACAGGGGGAGGTTAAGAATAGTATAGGAAATGTAGAAGCAAAAGAACTTATGCATATGACCCATGGACATGAACTAAGGGGCCGGAAGTGTGGGTGGGAGAGGGTGCACAGGGTGGAGGAGAATAAAGAGGGGAATATGGGACAAATGTAATAGCATAATCAATAAAATATATTTCAAAAAGAAGAACAAAACTAAGCAAAAAGCAGAACAGTCATAAATATGGAGATCATTTGGAGGGTTATCAGTGAAAGGGGGAAGGGGGAGAATGGGGGGAAAGGTGCAGGGATTAAGAAACATAATTGGTAGGTACAAAATAGGGGAATGTTAAGAATAGTATAGGAGATAGAGGAGCCAAAGGATGTATATGCATCACCCATGGACATGAACTAAGAGGTGGGTGGATTGCCAGATGGAAGAGGGCTTACTAGGTGGAGCGGGGCAAAGGGTTAAAAATTGGGAGAACTGTGATAGCATAATCAATACAATATATTTTAAAAATTAAAAAATAAAAAAACAACCCTTTTTTTAATTAAAAAGAACAACCTCTTGGCAGTCTTCTTTCATTGAACTACACCCTGCTCACATTTTTTTCAGCATTTTGAAGCAAATCTCAGATATTATCTTTTTGCACCTATAAATACCTTAATTTTATGTGGAACTTTTCTTGTTTATTTACAGCTGCTTTTTGAGTCCCTTTTATTTTTACTGGCATTGAGTGGTTTTAATTAATCAGAACAAGACCTGCATTTCAATAAAATCATCTATGTAAAGTGTCTAGCACAATAATAATCATGGAGAAGGTTCTTTCCCTTCTATTCTGCAAGAGCTTTAAATTTTAAAATTTCACACTAATTCCTTAATATCATAAAACATCTAATCAATGCTCAAATTTTATTAATTTTCTCATAGTTTTGTATAGTTTAAATTAGGACTCACATGAAGTCTACATATCTAACAATTAGTTATGTCTTTTTAAGGTTCTTAATTTATAAGCTCATTTTCATCTCTTTTTTTGTTTATTTAAACCCTGCCATTTATATATGAAGAAACTATGTTGTTTGTCCCTTAGAACTTCCCACATAAATATAGTTTAATATGTTGCTCTGTGTTCTGTATTTCTTATAAATTCATAGTAGAGCTAGAGCTTGATCAGAATGTCTGGTGGTCTTCCTTTTTGTGATTAGCAACCATTGGTGGTCTTTGTATAGGTTTGTGTTTCATTCTTTATCATTTATTATAGCTGTTTAAAATTCATAGACTATAAAGAGATATTTTCTATACTTAGAAATTGAAATGTAGGCAGTTTTTTAAAAAGTATGAGATGTATGTATTCTTTGGTTTTCCAGAAATGCTTACATATTGATCCCGACAAAAGGCCCTTCTGTGCTGAGCTTCTGCACCATGATTTCTTCCACATGGATGGGTTTGCTGAGAGGTATAGTACCGACTCGTGTTTTCCAGGTCACCTCAGCCTCGTGTTGGAATAAGATCTCCATAACAGTAACAGACAGTATTTCTCCACCCAGCTACTTTTATAGGATCTCAAATATGTACCACTTTACTTCCATTCATTCTTAGAACTATGGAACTTGTAGGAGTGGTCCCCTGTATTCACTAAGTTAGGGTTTTTGGTTTTCATGAAGCAGTCCCTCCCTACTCTTCTTTCTGTCTTCCTATGTGGTGACATGTGCCACTCAGGTCACTGATTTCTGTGTTGCTACCAGCTGTGTGAAGCCATCATCTTGGGTGCTGATGCATTTGCAAAGTTCCATCTCCTGTTGCTGCCAGACTCACACCACACCAGTCCTATGACACTGCTGATATGCTAGAGACTTTGGTGTGCCAACCCTGTGGGGGCCAGAGCTGTGGGCATGCTGTCTTGTGCTGTTGAGCTGCTGGCATCAGTGCAGCTGAGAAAGCAAGAAAACAGTGAGATGAGTGGCAATGACATAGCTTTATATTTTTACAAATCTACTTAATATCTAGCTTAGTATAAGATACCTGAGTTCTCATATTTACTTCTACATTCAATTAGTTGTGATGTGGTATGTTGTTTGAAATTCATTCTGACCTCATATAAATATGTTGTTGGAAAGTGGAGGAGTGTTTTAAAAGCTTTTTTAGATAATTTTGGGCATTCTTCTTTGACTCTACAGCAAAATCTTTGATGCTGTGCTAAAACTTGCTAGTGGTAGTTTCTTAAATGTTAGTTGTGGTATCTGAAACCACATCATTGAGTTTTTTTACTCTGTTACATTAAAATCCATCTTATACTGCCCTGGCCAGTGTGGCTCAGTTGGTTGGAGGTCATCCCATAACCAAAAGATTTCAGGCTTGATTACCGGTCAGGGCATATATTGTACCCAGGGTGTGGGTTCGATCCCTGGCCTGGGTGCATACAGGAAGCAGCCTGTCGATGTTTCTTTCTCACGTCAGTGTTTTCTCTCCCTTCCCTTCTCTCTAAAAGCAATGAAAAAAATGTTTTTGGGTGAGGATTAAAAAAATTAAAATCCATTTTGTACTTATATCTTTTACCTATGTATACTTTTGTAATATCAGATGTTAGTCATTTGGAAAATACTGTTTTACTGTTATGCATATCTTTAAAATGTTGCCATATTTCATTATATAATATGAAGAAGTCACATTCTATCTTATTAGAAAAGCCTTTAAATATTGGGAATCTGCTAAGTGCACATAGTGGATACAAGTTTAACAGAATTCTAATTTTACATTAAAATTTGAATTTTATTATTGACACAAATATTATTAATTGTTTTCCTTGAACTGATAAATTCCTTTATTATTTTTTTTTAAAGAAAGTTCCTGTCAAATACCCCAAGTCAGAATGACCATAGTTTTTCTGTCAGTCCTTCCTTCAAGTAAAAGAGTTGTCCCATGAAGAAGTGGCTGGTTTGGTTTGTGTCACAGACAGACAGACAGACAGACAGACAGACAGACAAAGCTTTTCTTAGGACAGCCATGGCATTTCAGTTGGCAGCCGAAGTACTTTTTGCATATTCTCATTTTATCACAGAAGCTATGAAAAAAGACATGTGCTCAAGGATTTAGACTTAATAAAATTAGTACTTTTTTACTGCTTTACCAGGGACATCCTTACATAAAGCTAGCTATAAAAAAGGCAGTGACTGCCACTGCATTTTGGTGCTGCTGCTTCAACCCCTGCTGCAGGGCCCGCAGTTCTATCTACCATGGCGTTTAGACTGTCAGTGCAGATGTTAACATTATGAAAAGGAAGTCTCCGTATTACGCTAAGAATAGCTTTGACTTTTTGAACCTCCTGAAAGGTTTTTAGTGATTCCCAGAGGTGTGTGAACTACCTTTTCAGGACTGTAACCGAGGCCATAATTTTTTTCATTTTAAATAACACAGCCCAGTTTACTACTCAATTTTTAAAAATAAGTTATCTTGAAAATCAATTTTTCCCTTGATTTATCTATCTCATACATTGTTATCTTATTGACAAATGTATTTTCATGTAGGTTTTCTCAGGAACTACAGTTAAAAATACAGAAAGATGCCAGAAATATTTCTTTAGCTAAAAAGTCCCAAAACAGAAAGAAGGAAAAGGAAAAAGATGACTTCTTAGGCGAGGAGAGAAGCACACTTGTGGTACAGGTAAATGTCCATGTTTTAATGTGTCTGAAATTTTAAATTTAATATGTCCTTAAGTTTTAGAAAGAAAAAATGAAGATTAAAACATTTTCTGAGTGGTGAACAAGTTAACTTTTAGATTCTTTGTAAAAAAGCATCATCTTTATAGATATTATGTGTTTGAAGAATCTTATCATGTAGCGAGTGCCTACTGTGTACCAGCCCATGCAGTAGAGCTTGTTGGGGAATCGCACTCACCCAAGAACATTTAGACACACGTGTGTGCACCCACATGCAGATACATGGGCACAAACACACACGTGCACCATTTTCCCTTTAAATGGCAGGAGAGAAAATAACGTTATTAGAATTTTATATAAAGTGTAGCATTTTAAAATTGAGATTTGGATATGCAATTTATTTGAAGTTTACTTTTTCCTGGTGTGTTGCCCAGAGTTGGCTCTTGGTAAAGTAATTCAAATCTACCACCCACCCACTTCCAGTTTTTCAAGTGAACCCAAAGCAGAGACTTTTCAATGTTGTGTTCCCTGACTCTGAATATGGAAGAATGAAAGTGGGCATGCTGGGTTCCTCTTCCATGTTTTTTCCCAGTTCAGTATATACAAAGTAGAAATGTATGCAGTATAAATGTGATCTGTACAGGGTGGGGCAAAAGTAGGTTAACAGTTCTGAGTATGTGAAGCACAGTTTATTCTTGTATTTTATTTATTAATTATTGTATTATTTTCCAGAGGAACAACTGTAAACCTATTTTTGCTCCACCCTGTACACATCAGAGTTAGTGTGAATTGCATTTCCACTCAAAATGTCTAACCAAGAATCTTGGGTTTAATTTTAATTTCATGGGTAGAATAAAGAAAACAGGGGCACGAAAAAGGGATATCTGTGGAATTCTGCTTTAGTTGGCAAGTACTTTGTAGGTAGAGGGGATTTTTCATTCTTCTCAGGTCACTAATGTTGTCAATATTTTTATTGATGGTCAGGATTCCAATGCTGATCCCAAAGTTAAGGATTCTAGAGTATTTAAAATAAAAGGGTCAAAAATTGATGGAGAAAAAGTTGAAAAAATCAGTCGAGTTGCAAATGCCAGCTGTCTCCATGACAACGGGACTAGCCACATCAAAACAGTGCCTTCAACAAGCCTCAGAGATGGCAGCAATAGCAGCGTGGACCACGCGAGGAATCCAGGCCCGGCAATTCCCCCACTTGCACACAACCTTTCTGCAGTCGCTCCTGGTATTAATTCTGGAATGGGGACTATGCCAGGAGTTCAGAGTTACAGGTATGAATTAGGAAAATAAGAAGAAAAAGTTATTTAAGGATATATTTGCAAATTGTAAGTGATTGTCAATTCAGCTCCATTGTGTTACTCTCAGGCTTTTGAATGTTATTCATTCTTGGTAGGTTGCTGTTTCAACAGAGTTTTTGGCCTATGTAATGAAAATTATTCACATTTGATAAAAAAATTAACTTGAGTCCTAAGAAAGTAGGATTGTATTATTTAAGATGAAGAGAATCTACAGCTATTTAGTGTAATAACATGAAAGGAGGTTGTCATAATGGAACAGATAATTGGTTTTGAGGGTCTGTTGCTGCATGGTGTGGCTATGGGCATTCAGTGGTACAAAGAAGCTCCTTTGGGGAGTTTTCCTGAAAGGAAGGTGATGTATTTTGTTGGAGTTGGGGACTGGGTGAGCGGCATGAATTTAGTAGTACAGGACAGAACGTTTCACCAGATCTGTGCTTATAGCACATTTCCGAGTAAGCATTAACTTCTGATTAAACTGCATGTCACTTGGTGCTATGTAATTTGGTTTTGTGCTTGAAAAATAATAACTGCTGTTTCTAACTTAAATTTTGTGTTGCTGTTGTTACAGAGTGGATGAGAAAACCAAGAAGTATTGTATTCCATTTGTTAAACCAAATAAACATTCTCCACCAGGCATTTATAATATTAATGTGACCACATCAGTAAGTGAACTTTTTTCTGTGGTAGAAGGGCAAGTCATTTCTAGAGTTTTATTAATGTTAAATATAATAGTGAAGAACTAGAATTTTATTTGGAGACAGATCATAAAATGGAACCTTAATTATACATATATCTTTCGAGCCTGCCATAATCCTAAATGTGAAAGTCTTAAAGTTTAAATAAGTTTTACAAAGTATTATAAGCCTGGAAATTAAAATATAAGATGTTATTAAAATGACATCTATTTTAATTCTTTATGTAATAGTAAATTTTCTTAGCCTAACACTTGGCGATCAGTTCTTTTGTAAGAGTAGAGGAAAAGATAAATTGTCTCATCTCACCACTAGGTTTTTGGTGAAAGTATTCTATTTCTTCATTTAACATATTCATTGATTATCTATTATGTATAAGACACTGAAGATGAATAAGTCAATCTTTCTCTTCAAGAAGCTTGTGGTCAAGTAGAGGGTCAGCCAATTAAATCACAGTGTCAGATTGTAGAAGTAGAAGCATGTACAAGGCTCATAGATCTTCTCAGGCTTCAAAGGAACATTATTGTGCTCAAGATAGCTTCTTTTTAAAGTTAAAACACTGTTCCATTTCAAATCCTCCATTGGTTTCTCATCTCTGAGTAAAGCCCAAGTCCCTGAATGACTCACTCCCCATCCATCTGTCCCATTCACAGCTACTCTCATTCTTGATTAGTCCATTCCAACCACTCTGAGTTCCTTCTTATTCCTGGAGCATGGCCAGACTTGCTCCCACATTTAGGCTTTTGCACTTGCTTTTTCTTCTGCTTCAGAACGTTCTTCCCCTGGTTAGAACATTCTTCCAAAAAATTTGCTTTTTTTTCTCTTACATGAAACCTTATTATGTACTCTTCCCTAATATTATAACTCATTTTTGTCTCCTATTACTTATTATCTCTTCACCTTGCTTATTTTTTTCCAGTATATATACTTGACATTTTTTTATATTCTCTTATTTATATATTGTCTGTCTCCCCCATATAATGTAAGCATCCAAGACAGGAATTTGGGCTTTGTTTCCTCACTGCTCTATTCCACAGCTAGAATGGTGTCTAGCATGTTGAAACTGCTTAAGAAATATGAATGAATTTTTCTGCCAGAGAAAGAGAGGTTTGGACATACTCCCAAAAGAGTATTTTTCTCACAATTTTCTTTCTCTACTTTTTGATTATCCCCAGGACTGAAAAATATAGCCTTTCTTTTCGTCTCTCATGATTTGGACATTGTATTTGTTTATCTTTTAATTCTTCTTAGCCTACAATTTCTGTACCCATAGTACATTCCTTTTGACATACCCTACCTTTTGATTTCTTTGTGGGTATTTTGTTGTACGTTCCTGGTCTGCTTTGGAAGATTATCTTGCTCAGCAAGGCTTTTCAAAACAGCTGGCTCAATACTGCTTTTTGGTAACTGATACCACCCTCCTTTTAGGTATTGCATAACCAACACTGGCTAGTAATTTTAGATATTATTTCTGTTTATCCTTCTTTGGAAGAGGCGATCAAAAAAGGGGGTAAAAATTAGTGGGGAGAAGCCCCACTGGGAAATCAGTGGAGGCAGAACTAAGCCTAAACTTTCTTCTACTCCTCAGTTGAAGATCAATACCCCTCTCCCATGCTTCATCCCCTGATTCTGAGATGTGAATAAATACACATTACTATAAACATTTCTTATGTATTTTATTTGCCACTCCTTGAATGTGTAAATTGAGTAGTTTCAACTCATTATTTTTTTTTTATTTGCAGGTAGTGTTTTTGAACTGATTATTTTTATTTTGTAGCTGATTTGAACCAATAGCCTTAACACGTATTCTATTAAAAGAGCAAACAGAAACATCCAAAAGAAAGAAACTCAAAAACTCACTTCAGGACTTTCTAGGAGGCAGAGTGGCATAATTCACAGGATATTAAACTTCAGACATCAAGAAACCTCAATGGCTTAATGCTGTCATTATATGTGTTTGTGTGTGTGTTTCATATATACATACATACATGTGTACATACACATACATATATGATTTTGTTATTTATAGGTTTTTTCTTTTGGCAGATCACACACTCTTTCTATGTATCATCTTTTTTGAAAATGTGGAAGAGAATGTAGAATTTTCTGTCATTCTCAAATGAGACAGATTGGAAAAATGACAAATTCATAAAGGTGCAGAGTTGAAGTGCTACTGCTGTTCTTCGTGTTATAATTTTTCAGACTTTATCAATTATATGGTAAAAATACTAAGAAAGATTAGAAAACTAATTGGAGCTATAGTTCCTTATTTTAAAAAGGAGTAAAAAGATTATATTGGGAAAGCAAAAACAAGCTAGGACATGTGACAGGTAGCAAGATGAACTGTCCCAAATTAGCTACTCTATGCTGAAAAGCTCTGCAAGTGTCATAAGCCCTCACCTTGCCAGCCTGATGCCCATCTTTAACATCGTACAGATTGGCGGTACTTAACTGAAGGCTGGGAGAGGGAAAGGAGAAACATCAACCAGTAATCCACTTGTTAGTGATTTGAATAGATTTATTGAGGAGGAAGTTTGAAATAATTAGGTGAAATTGTTTTTTGTGTTATTGATGTTCTTCAAATTTTGTATTATTCTAGACCTTCAGTTGCATAAATTTTAGGGTATAAATGTAGTAGTTACAAAGTGGGCGAGTCCAGCTTACCAAGAAGCTAATTCACTTGTGTTAATCATCCTGATGATATTAGGTCACTAGTGAAAAGAGCCTACTTCAGGCAAATAGGAAAAGAAGAGAGTACTCAAAGACAGATGTCCATTTGCCTGAATTAAACTATAATCATCTCCCTGAACTAAGAGCCTTGGAAGGCATAGGTATGTTTATAATGCTCTTACTTTTTCAGCCCTTCTGTTTATATTATTTAAAATTGTTAAATGAACAGAATATTAAAAATTCATAGTAACTTTACATATTTAAGTATGTAAATGTGTACAGACTTATGTACAATAAGTCAACATAGAGGGATATATATAGAACGTGAAAAACTAATATGTCTAATTTTTGCACTGTGTTTATGGTTGGTTTTATTCAGCTCGAAATTCCAGGCTAATAAGGAAAGAGAACAAAAATCTTCCAGAATCTCGAATTCCTTCTCTGGCTGCTATTGACTTGCATGCCTCCAGTGTTGCATTGCCTCAGGTACAGAAATACTCCTTGTAGGTTGGGTGGAGCTTGGGTCTCTCTCATAATTTCTATTAAAGTATCTTAGGGAGTGTTTGCTGTTAAGTATTGGGAGGGTTTGTTGGTGGGATCTATAAAAAGTGTGTGTGTGTGGCCTAGCTATGGCTTCCACAGGTTTTGTGGTGGCTTATATTATTTCATTGTATTAGCTTCAGAATTACAACCTATCTTTCTTTTTATAAGTATATTTTATTGATGGTGTTATTATAGTCCCACTTTTTCCCCCTTCCCCCTCTCTGCTCAGAACCCTCTTCCCTCCAGTTCCCTGCCTTAGTTCATGTCCATGGGTCGTGCATATAAGTCCTTTGGCTTCTCCATTTCCTATACTGTTCTTAACATCTCCCTATTTTGAACCTACCAATTATGCTTTTTAATCACTGCACCTTTTCCCCCATTCTCCTCCTCCCCCTTCCCAGCTGATAACTCTCCAAATGAACTCCATATCTGTGATTCTATTCCTGTTCTAGTTGATTGCTTAGTTTTTTTTCTTTTTTAGATTAAGTTATTGATAGTTGTGAATTTGTTGCCTTTTTAATGTTTATAGTTATGATCTTCCTTTTCTTAGATAAGTCCTTTTAACATTTCATGTAATAATGGCTTGGTGGTGATGAACTCTTTTAACTTTACCTTCTCTGAGGAGCACTTTATCTGTCGTTGATTCTACATGATAGCTCAGCTGGATAGAATAATCTAGGTTGTAGGTTCTTGCTTTTCATCACTTTGAATACTTCTTGGCAGTCCCTTCTAGTCTGCAAAGTTCCTTCTGAGAAAGCAACTGGTAGTCTTACAGGAACTTCTTTGTAGATAACTCTGCTTTTCTCTTGCTGCTTTTAAGGCTCTCTCTTTATCGTAACATTTGGCATTTTAATTATCATGTGTCTTGGTGTGACCTTCTTTGGACCCAACTTGTTTGGGACTCTTTGAGTTTCCTGGACTTGTATGTCTATTTACTTTACCAAATTAGGAGAGTTTTCTTTCATTGGTTTTCAAGTAGGTTTTCTTTTTCTTGCTCTTCCTCTTTTCCTTCTCGCATCCTATGATATGGATTTGGGCATGTTTGGAGATGTTCTAGATTCTTCTTATACCATCCTTGTTTTTTTTTATTCTTGTTTTTCTTTCTTTTCTGGTTGAATGTTTATTTCTTCCTTATGTTCCAAATCATTGATTTGAATTGTGGTTTTCTTGCCTTCACTGTTGGTTCCCTGTACATTTTTCTTTATTTCACTTAGTGTAACCTTCATTTCTTCCTTTATGTTGTTGCCATGCCCAATGAGTTCTTTGAGCATCCTAATCACCAGTGTTTTGAACTCTGTGTCTGATAGGTTGGCTATCTCTGTTTTGTTTAGTTTTTTTTTCGGGGGTGGGGGTTGTTCCGTTTTTTTTCATTTGGGCCATGTTTCTTTGTCTCCTCAATTTGGCAGCTTCCCTGTGTTTGTTTCTGTGTATTAGGTAGAGCTGCTTTGATTCCCTGTCTTAGTAGCATTGTCTGTTGTAGAAAAGGCCCCTGTAAATTGTGTGGGGCAGAGCCTTAGGTAATTACCAGGGTGGGGCAACCTGATTCATCTCTTTGTGGCTCTGGGGAGGGGGGAGGCTTAGAGAGGGGACAGTGGCACTGCCTGGCTTCTGGAGGTTTGCCCTGCACTTGCCCCATTTCCAGTCACGTCACTTTTCCCCGGATGCAACTGGCACCCTTTCAGCTGTTGCCCTGGTGTTGAATCCCAGAGTGGGTGGGTTTGCATACATTTTGAGACCATGTGGGCACTTTAAGAGGAGTTTTCTGAAAATCTGGCAGTTTATTCTGCTGCCTCAACCCCCACTTGTTTTTATAGCCAGAAGTTATGGGGATATATCTTCCTGGTGCTGAAACCCTGAGCTGTGTGATCTGGCCTGGGGCTGGGATCACTCGCTCCTAAGGTATCCCTCCCAATTTTTATCCACTGCACATGAATGTGGGACCACCTGTGCCTGATCTGCTGCCAATGCCGCCTCTCTGTGCCACACCACATCTCCTTGCCTCTCCTCCCTGTCTCCACATCTCTGCCCCTCCTGCCCATCTGGATGAATGTGGTTTCTTTAAATCTTTTTTTGTTTTTTGGACTTCAGTACAGTTTGATTTTCTGATAGTTCTGGGTGTCATTGTTTTGAGATTTAGTTTTAATTCTTCTTGTGGTTTTGCAAGGAGGTGAAGTGTGTTTACCACGTTTGATCCTGCACAAGATCCGGGAAAATCCACTGTTCCTGGTGGTGGCCAGCAAGGCAAAATATCCACCTATAACTCATCTTTCATTCAGTGAAACTCTGAAATTGTTTTTATTCTTTTACAATGAATTGTCTGTTTGACACTTTTCCCCAAGGTGATGGACTCCATCCATGTTAGAGATTTGCTACTTTCTATAGATATCTTTTTCTATAATTTCTCTTAACTCTTAAGAATATTGATGTTTCTGCTACTTTTATATCAACAACAGTCATATCACTCATTTTCACATTAAGGAAACTGGCCAACTTTTTAATCTTCTGAGCCAACCATAACTTGCTACAAACTTTGCATATGTATCATTGTACTTTCTGTTTACTTTATCAAATTTCTCACCTTTGCCTAATGCTTAGAAACTTTTGTTTTCAAATCAAATTTTCCATCCTCATTACTTAAGTTTTTTAATTTCATAGAGAACAACTATATGTTGCCTCTTTATATATGTGGATGCTTTTTTCTATTGTTACTTTTTAAATAATTCTGTGGAGCTCTCTAAAAAGGGGGGGGGGTTAATATTGTTGAGGATAATTACAGTCAGTTGCCCAGTGATGCTGAGAAAAAGTTTTGACTGCTATGTTTTGCTTCATCCCTTGCCAACAATTTCTATAGCAACATAATCAAAACTAAACAAATTCCTCTTGTGTGAACATTAATCACCGTCACAAATTTTGCATTTATGACTGTAGAGTCTCAGCAAATTCCTTGTATACTTCTACACTTAAGTTTAATGTGGATTTTAAAGGTGCAGAAATTTTCACTTGCTCTTTGAGAGAGTGCACCATTGTCAAAACCACTTTTGGGGGTTGACATGAACATATCTAGTTTCAGTCAGTGGAAGAAAAGGCTTTGGCTGCCTTCACACTTCTTCAGTATTTTTATTTATTGTTTTGAACTAATCTTTTTATACATATAGACTGGTTCAGCATTTTTACTCTCAATTTACTTGTTCAATTTTCAGTTGTATTTAAAATACAATAAAAAATAAAGTAAGTGTAGTGAAAAGCACAAATTAACACCAAAATAACACAAGCTTATGCATGAACAGTGTGAATGGAAAGAGGAATGCCAGGAGACCAAGAGCAAAAGACCATCTGGCAGGAGCTGTCTCTTATATTGCTTTATGTATTCATAATATATTGAACTATGCTTCATTTCTGTACATAACACAAAATTTTCATATAACAAAAGTCTATTATGTACCTTCTGGAAAAGTCTGTAAAATAGATTATTGTAAGTAAAGTGTTGCATAATCCACAGAGCCTCTCCACCCCACCCCTGACACACTCACACACGCTGAGGGCTTGTGCACATGGCAGCACATTTCTTTTCTGTGAGCACTGCTGTAGCTTCATCCCACACACTTCGATAGGTTGTAGTTTCCTTTTCATTCAGTCCAAACATTTTCTTATTTCCCTCGTAACTTCTTTTTTAACCCATGAATTATTTAGAATTGTTTAACAGTTAGATATTTGGGGTTTCCCCAGACTTTTTGTTATTGATTTCTAATTTAATTCCATGTGGTCAGAGAATATACTCTGTGCGATTTTGATTCTTTTAGATCCATTGGGATGTGTTCGACAGACCAGCATATGGTCCGTATTGGTGAATGAACCTTGTTCCTTTGAAAATAATGTATAGTCTTCAGTTGTTGGGTATAATGTTCTGTAAATATGATTGTGTTAAGGTGGTCAATAGCGCTGTTCACATCTTCTATGTCCTTCATGATTTTGCTGTTGTTGTTCAGGTCTGTCAGTTACTGAAAGGATGCTGTCAAAATCTTTTACAATGATTGTGGAATTGTCTATTTTTCTCTTCTATCTGTTCATTTTTGCTTCATATATTTTAAATCTCTATTTTTAGTTACATGCATACTTATAATGGTTCTGTCTTCCCAATGCACGTCCCCTTTATCTCTATGAAATGTCTCTCTTTATCTGTCATAAATGCTCCATGTCTTGGAGTCTATTTTATTGAAGATTAAAATAGACACTCCAGCCTACTTATACTTATGGGTTTTTTTCCTTTTTCACAGAATTTACTTTACACCTATCATACCAACCAGCATTTTAAACACTGACATAGAAAACTCCCTAACTCCCTAATAGAAAAAGTAGCGATTTTCAACAGGTGTGCCATGGCACACTGGTATATTGCAAGAATTTTAAAAATATTCAGTACCCAATTATTTAGCCAGGGGCACTGACTTCTTTCCCCTTAGACTGTCAAATAAAAAAAATGACAACAGCCCACACAACAATGGCCACCTGATGTGAATGAATTAAAATTATACCTTTTTTGGTCAGACCAGCAAAAGACTAGTATGCATTTTGGTGTGTCACAGATGAAAAAATGTTGAAAATCACTGAGATAAAGCAAAAACAAGTGTTTTTCTTATGAGAAACAAGATACACCATCACTTACAGTCTTCAAACATTATTGCATTTTAACTTTCATAATTTAACAATGCATTCACAAAACAATCTTCAGACTAGTTTTAAGAAATTAAAGAACACTTTTAAGTAAATATGACTGTCCTAAATTGTTTATTAAGTAAGAACTTTATAAACATGACACATATTAGTGGTAATGGTGGAGCTGGAGAGTACTGCACCTTCTCAAAGCTGCGTGGCGAGAACCACCAATAGTGTGGTGGAACTCGTGGCCCTTTCCAAGGGCGGCTCTTGCGGCCTTCAGATGTCAGCTCTCTAGTCTCCCTGTGCTTGTGGACCGGTCTGGTGATCCACTGGGTGCCAGGATTCCTTCTGATAGCCTTATGGAGTGGATCAATGAGGATAACCTCAAAGAATTTGCACATGGAATCTTCACCAACCCAGTAAGAATTCAGGACTCTCAGAGCCCCACAGTGGTGTCCACCTCACTCCTTGGCAATGGACTGCAGGCTTCGGGCAAATTTCAGCTAGTTAACACCATGATGGACAGGCTTGCTATAGGTCGCACTCTTAGGAACAGGGCATTTGTGGCCACCATGGTGCCAATGAATCCGATATATGATATAACCTTGCTTGGCCTGGTATCCCAGCCTGCCGGCTTGATCAGCCTGGTGGGGTGGGGGTGGGGCCCGTGGAGCACAGAGAGCTGGCGGTACTGCCAGCAGCGCACCCTGAGAAGGAAGCGCATCACGTGGGACTGCTTCTTCCTCCCTAGGTCCGGATGTGCTTGTAGCGCCCATCTTGGCTTACCTTATGGCTGCAGTCAGACAGAAAGACAGAACCTATACTTACGTTTTTATGGTATATCTTTTAACTTTTGATTTACTTTCCACCTATCTTCTTTTTATGTTTAAAATGTTCCTTTTGCCAACAGCATATGAGTAGGGGGGTCTTTCCTTTGTATCCATTCTGTCAATTCCAATTCTTTTAATTGGCATGTGTACTAGTTTTCTATTGCTGCTAACAAACTACTACCAACTTAATATGTGTTTATTATTTCACAGTTTCTATGGGTCAGGAGCCTAGGCAAAGCTGCTTTTCTCCTTTAGAGTCTCACAGGCTGAAGTCCAGGTGGCAGCAGGGCTGCATTTCTTTCTGGAGGCTCTCGGGGAGAATCCGTTTCCAGGATCGTTCAGGCTGTTGGCGGAATTTAGTTCCATGTGATTATGGGACTGAGGTCCCTGTTCCCTTGCTGGCTGACACGGGGGACTGTTCTCAATTTGCAAAGGCCACCCACATTCCTTGACTGATGGCTTAGTTTTACTGTATTCAAAGATAGCAACAGCGGCTAAATCTTTTTTATTTTTTGAATCTCTCTGACCTCCTCCTTCCCTTATCTCTTTGACTCACTCTTCTGCTTTTAAGGGTACATGCAATTACATTGGGCCCACCAGGATAATCTGTCTTAGGATCAACTGATTAGTAACATAATTTCATGTGCAAAGCCCCTTCACACAGAAGCTAAATTAGTTTGATTGACTAACCAGGGAGAGGCATTTTAGGGGCGTAGCTTTAGAATTCCGACTACCCCTGAATATTTATGCCATTAACATTTGATGTGAGTGTTGATATGTTTGGGTCTAGCTCTGTTTTTATTATTACTTTTATTTATTTGTTATTTATTCCTCTGTTTTCCCTTTTAGTCTTCTTTTATATATGAATATTTTTAGTGTTGGCTTTTGGGGGGGATATCTCTTTGTATTATTTTTTTAGTTATGTAGGGGTTACAGTATATAGGCATAACTATTTTTTCACAGCCTACTTAGAGTAAATATTAGGCCACTTATAAAAGGTAGAGACCTTGCAAACACCTTTCTCTTCCCACCAACATGAACTTTTTGTCACTCCCATCATATGTATTTTATTTACATGCTTTGAAAATTCTTACCACACTATGTCATACTTTTTGCTGAAAACAGTCATAAATATTTTAATTAATTTATGAGAAAAAAGTAGTCTTCTATATTTACCTAGCTACTTACTGTTTCTGTCTGTTTTTAAAAACATCCTCAACCAAGAATATGTATTTGTATTATTTTAGAGAAAGGGAAAGAGGGCGAGAGAGAAACATTGAGAGACATAGATGTGAGGGAGAAACATCATTCGGTTGCCTCCTGTTTGCACCCCACCTGGGGATCGAACCTGCCAACTGTGTCTGTCCCCTGACTGGGAATGGGTCCTGCAACATTTTAGTTAATGGGACATCGTCCCAACCACCTGGGCCACCTGGCCAGGACCTTCCTTCTTTCTTAAAGATTACAGTTTTGTTTTCTGGCATTTTCCTTCCACCTGAAAAACTCCCTCTAGCATTTCTTACAGAGTAGGTCTGATGATGACAAATTCTTTTAGTTTTCCTTCATTTGAGAATGACTTTGTTTTGCTTTCATTCCTGAAATATATTTTCTCTGGACATAAAATTTGAGTTGGTAGGTTGTTTTAATTTTTCAATTTTTTGCCTCAGGACTACAAAGACATTATTCTTTTACTTTCTGATCTCTATTTTTTCTGGGGGGAAATTGTCAGGCATTTGAATTGTTATTCTCCAAATAATGTTTCATTTTTCTGGTTGCTTTCTATGTTTATTAGCTTAAATATGATGTGTCTAGGTATAGTTTTCTTTTTTAATTTTATACTGTTTGGGTTTCCTGAGCTTCTTGAATCTGTGACCTTTGTATCTTTTACAAAATTGGGGGAGTTTTTAGTCATTGTTTCTCAAAAATTTTTTTCTGCTACAATCTCTTTTCTTCTTTTGAGATTTTAGGCATTTTCCCACATATTCCTGAGACTCTGCTCATTCTCTACAATCTTTTTTTCTTTATTTTTAAGACTGGGTCATTTCTATTGATCTATCATTTCTCTGACTCTTTGTCCTTTGCATTCTGCTATTAAGCCCATCCAGTGAGGTTTCAAATTTCAGTACTGTGTTTTTTAGTCCTAAATAACCACTTAGTTCTTTTTTAGAGCTTCTACTTTTCTACTAAGAATTCCTGTCCCTTTATTTCAAGTACATTTTCTTTCATCTCATGTGCCATAGTTATAACTGCTTTAAAGTATTAAAGTTTTACAGTATTTTTGTAAACTTCCACCATTGGGGGCCACCTCAGGATTGATATTTGTTAACTGAATTGATCACACCTTCCTAGATGTTTTTATGGCCAATATTTTTGGGTTGTATCTAGGACATTGTGCATATTATGTTGTGTAGCCTCAAGGTCTTGTTATAATACTCTGAAAAATGTTGAAATTTTTGTTTTAGCAGGAAGTTACCCCTTTGGTTCACACTGTAAATTCTGCCTTAGCTTCTGTGAGAGGTGGTACAAATCTCAGTTCTCTAGGTCTTTGTGATCCTAGTTTGCACCTGTCCTGTCCTTGTGCAGTTCCAAAGACGAGTGCAGGTGATTCAAATCTCAGTTCAGTTCTGTAAGCCTTTGCTGGCTGGTTTGAAGCTGTCCCATGCATGCATATCTCGGGAGGTCGACCGAGTCTTCTGTGGGTTTATATGCAAGTTTAGAGGATCCCTTTCTCTGGTTTTCCTCTGTTCAGAAGTCTGCTTGTACTTTTTGGCCTGCAGGGACCCCTTTTCCTGGTTTCTCTATAAAATGGGGTTTCTTTCAGACCTTCAGACAGGCTAAAGCCTGTCATACTTTCTTACTGCTCTGGGACTCAAGCAGCGGCTCTGCCGGCAAAGCCACAGGAGTGAAAAAACAAAATTGGAAACCTACCTCCCCACAAAGGGTCACATCATCAATTTTGACTCCTTTCCTTAATCCTCAGTTGTTGTATTTTTAGAAAAATTTTCCCAAAGTTTTTTTGTTGTTGTTTTGCTTGTTTCATAATAAGTAGGAGAGGGGGATTGTAGTGGGTTTACCCTGTCTTGGCACATCAAAAGTATCTTTTAACACATGCATCAACAAAGCAAACAAAGAATAACTGTCTCCTTACTTCATATTCTCTGCAAGCAACTTGAACTATGAATAGTTAATTTTAAACATCTGGTATTTGAACAACAAGAATTGGGGTGTTCAACAAGTGTTGGAGAGGTTGTGGAGAAAAGGGGACCCTAGTGCACCTTTGGTGGGATTGCAGACTGGTACAACCACTATGGAAAACAGTATGGAATTTTCTCAAAAAACTAAAAATGTATGTGCCTTTTGACCCAGCAATTCCACTCCTAGGATTATATCCTAAGAACCCTGAAACACCAATCCAAAAGAACCTATGCACCCCAATGTTCATAGCAGCACAATTTACAATAGCTAGATGCTGGAAGCAACCAAGATGCCCATCAGTGAATGGATCAAAAAACTATGCTACATTTACACAATGGAATTCTATGCAGCAAAAAGAAAGAAGGAGCTCCTACTCTTTGCAACAGCATGGATGCAACTGGAAAGCATTATGCTAAGCTAAATAAGCCAGGCGGTGAAAGACAAATACCATATGATCTCACCTTTAACAGGAACCTAAACAACAAAACAAACAAACAAGCAAAATATAACCAAAGACACTGAAATAGAGAACAGTCTGACAGTGTTCAGAGGGGAGAGGAGAGGGAATTTCAGGGAAATTTCAGGGGAAAAGGGGAAGGGTTTACAGGAAGTATAAAGGGCACATGGATAAAAACTAGGGGTGGGCGGAAATGGGAGGGAGGAGGGGAGGGCTGGGTGGGTGGGTTGGGATGGGAGTAAAAGAAAATTGTACTGCAACAACAATTAAAATAAAAAATATATAAAAAAAGAATTGGGGTGTTCAGGGAGTGGGACTTTTATGATTGCTGAGGATCTATAATGCTGCATTATTAACCTATAGGTACCGGCATCTCCCTTGTCAGATGATTCGGAGGCTGAGTTGCCTCGAATGGAACACCAGTACTGAATGTCAGTTTGGTTCTGAACTGGGTAGGTTTGCTTTCTCATATTTGAAGCTGTGTAACCTTTCGTGGGAAACATGTTGTACATTTGCATATGCAGTGTGAGAGAGTGAGATAAAAATCTACAATAGAAAGATTTTATGTAAAACATTTGGTGGCATGTATTCCCCTGTGCTTTCAGATGCTGCTCTGGCACTTGAGATGCAACTTGGAACAAAAGTGCTGATATCTTAGGAGGAGATATACGTGGTTTTGATCATTCACTTCTGAATTGCCTGCATCTTCTGAGAAAGGTCTTGCAGAAGGAAAGACAAAGATTTCCAGGTGTTTTAAAGGAAGATTAAACACGTGTCTCTCCCCAACTGCCATCCTATCACCTTTCAAGTGGCTGATGCTATTTCATGTTATATCCAATGAAAGAATAGTGATATATGGTTCTTGTTACTTGAATGTATATTTACTATTAGTAGATTGTGTATTTAAAGTTACCCAAGATTAAAAGTAAGTAAAAAAACGGAGAAACACGTAAGAGTTCATGTTACTTGTGCATCGGACTTTATGTGTTATCTGTGTTAATGTGCACATTTATGTAGGAGTGTGTTTGGTGGGTGTGGGCACTACAAACTAGAATCTGTTGAAGAAAATGAAAAAACTAGGACCAGTCAGAAAAAATGTTTCCTTTACCTAACTTAACTATAAAAACACATTTAAGAATCTTGCTTGTTTCTAGGCTTTTAGAAGATATGTAACTGCTCTCTACGGATAGATGTATTTCTTTGGTTTCTGTGGTTATTGTTGATGTTTGATCAGTGCATCCTGGGACTATGCCTCTCTGCTGGTCTTCTGAGAGCCACACTAGTGCAAGTTTCACAAAGAACCCTTTTGTTTCTAGCAACCTAGTATGGCTGACACTGGGTACTTTCTGCACTGTAAGATTCTGGTGCTAATGTTCCCGTGTGCTGGAGCGTGATTAGAACAAGAGTGGTAAAGGAGAATTTTGTGGGTATACCTTGCAGTTGAATATTGAATCATTGACAAAAGAGGTATGTGTACAAAATTAGGAGATGGGAAGCAGGGTTACCAATTGACTAGGACTGGTTACTCCTCTCCAGGCCAATTGCTATTAACTGCCCCACCGAGGCGGCTTTGGGCAGCGAATGTGTGTTGTTAGGAACACCACTCCTATCCACTTATGGTGTGAAGGAGATGTTAGATGGAACATCTGTATAAAATATCCCAGACATATTCCTGTCTTCTTGTTTCCTTAAACACTTAGGCCTTCTGAAAAGCTTTTAACCAAGGTGCAAAATTATTAACCTACAGTACACACATCTTTTTTAATGCACTGGTCCACGCGTTTTAGGTAGGAGAGCTAAATTGCTTTGGCTCCAGGTTTTTGGTTTCTGGGTCTCCAGTCATGCTTCCCATCTGTCATTTTAGAGAATGGTTGTTAAGGGGACCAGGATTTGTGTGGGGATTTTTTTGCCTTACAATTAATAGTGTGTTTTTCCCCCCAAAAGAACTTAGACCAAGAATTTAACTAGCACTTTTCTCTATTACTTATCCTGTGGAGCTCAATATTGAAATTCTAAATATAGTTACTTGAGCCTCAAAAAAGGTAGGATATTCAGTAGGATATAAGGGGCTGCAATGTGAAAGTCTACCGATGGATCAATTAACATTTGATCTTGATTTCGAAGCTCTGTGTTTCACCTCTTTCCCCGTGTTCGACGAGACCAGGTATGGCTCACAGACTGAGCTAAGTTAGTGCATAGATGGGCATTAATAGGCCTCACATTAAAATATTATTTTTACTATGAATAATGTTGCCAACAGCCACCACGACATAAAAAGCAGACAAGACTTAGAAACCAAGGAGCTGTCCAGCTTATTTCGATGTTATTTTCATTTAAAAATCGGTGTGAAAATATCACCTCAATGCCTGAGGGTCTAGGGTCAGTTACATTTTTATTCTATATTTGCTTTTGGTATCTCATATCTATTAAAACATTTTGTGAACTTTAGAATTAAGAAACTAAAAATTATTTACTGTAAGTCCAAGCTGAGACTTGAGGATCATATCTGGTTAGAAACTTGGCAGAACTAATTGAAAAAGAAGATTTTGCAAACTGGGGCTATAGACACTGAAGTAAAATAATCCTCTCATTTTTTTTTCAGTTTAAGATTGCTTTGTCTTTCCTCACAAGGGTATGATTCAGTCACATACAAATAGGAAATATGTGTATGAACTTGTTAGGGAAAATGGGCTTGCTGTGTGTATGTATGTTTTAAAATTAATAAATATTATATGTTACTGAGCTCTATAATTTTTGTTTGCATTTATTTAATTAATAGACTATAAAAAATGTATATAACACTGTATGATATTTAACAAAAATGTTTGAAATAACCTATTCAATCTTTGGGGGATACTCCGGATATAGGGATGATAAGTTAATTTTTTTGTACAGCCAGTGATACGAGTGGTCTGGTCATAAAGTGCATGAAGTAACAGGTCTGTAAAGACTACCTCGTGAATGTTGTGCCAGACTGAGGCCGAGAGCCTGGTTCTCCTGGCGGAGAATCCCTTGCTTGGTTAGAATAACTGACTTCTTATTGAAATAGAAACACAGATGTGTTGTCCTGTGTGACTCTGCCATTATTGGTTTCTTTATCTTAATTGTGCTTCAATATAAGTCTGGCTCTATATTCAGCTGTGAGTCAGAATAAATTGAAAAATGTGGTTGACTTATTTTCTAAGCCCTCCTCTGCACAACCTACCCACTGTCCGAGAATGAGAAACACCAGGGTCACTGCTCCTGAGGCTTTACGACTAGTCCTAGTGAACTGGACTGAGTGGGTTTTTCTCTATTGTTTTGTATTAAGCGTTTTTACATTAGAAATGGGCCCTTAACACTCCTCTATGTGAATGAAAAATTATGTTCTCACATCGCTTTTTAAAGGATCTTATTTTTTCTTTTGATAGCTTTGACATGAACTAACCTGAAAATGTTAGTTTATGTGTTTCAGTTTATGTTTCTTAACATGTCCTTCTGAGAAGCACCTTACCATAGATAGCGACATCATTTGTTACCGCTTGTGTGTGACTTGTGATTTAGAGTCTGGTGCTTGTTTGTAGGTGTTTGGGAATACCTGACATTGAATGTATTATACACTGAGAAATTTTTTTAAAAAACAAAAAGGAAACAAAAAACTATAAAACGTCACCTTCCTTTGCTCTCAGTAAAATTTTATTCCCCCCATTGCATAGCTTTCCTTATTTACTTTTTTAAAGAGTGTTTGTTTGTTTATAGAGAGAGGGAAGAGAGGGAGAGAAATATCCATGTCCAAGAGATACATCAATTGGTTGCCTCTCATACGCCAAGTGGGACCCCGCCTGCAACCCAGGCATGTGCCCTGACTAGGAATTGAACCAGTGACCTTTTAGATTGCAGGCAAGTACTCATTCCACCAAGCCACACCAGTCAAAGCACAGAGTCCTATTTAATCTCTTCTTGTTCTACTTGGTCATACAGGGTCATCTCCAGTAGAAGTGAGGAAGGTGCAAACAAAATTTAGGGAAATATATTGTTGGTTAACATGAATGAAAATAAGAGTTAGAGAAATGGCATACAAATATCTTAATTCAGCATGTCTCTAGAGTGAACAGGGTTGTTGTTTTTTTATGTCAATTTATCTCCTTTCAGCTATCTCCTTGCCTCTAGATCTGGAAAGCGATCTCTATTAATGTCACCACTAGAATTGAAAACACACCCCGCCCCCTGACCCCGCACCCCATGACAGCAGTGTTTCGGTCAGTCGCTTCCCTGTTTCAGCCTTCTTCCTTGGATAATCTCTCCTTTTACTTACACGTATACCTCTTTGTCTGTCTCCCCACTACATGTAATTTTAAGTAGAAAATCTGTTTATGAAGTTGCTCCTAGTCCCTCCAGAAGAGTCAGAGCCTGATTCTGAAGGCACATGGGTAAGAGAAATACCCAGTGTCCCTGCCTCACTAAATTTTTTGTGTTACTGAAGATTGCACACATCTTTCTGTTCCACACCGCCTGGCACAGTGATTTCTATGTGACAATAGTAATAATACATTCCTGTGAAGGTAGGAATGTTAGTCATATTTTATAGTCAAGGTAACAGGCCTGGACAGTTTAAGGAATTTACACAGTGTCACTCAATAAGTGACAGAGCCATGCACGTTTGTTGAAGTAAATATATGGTCATGATTATTTAGATCTGGAATCAATTTAAGAAAAATTTTGTTTAGATCATGTAAACTTTGGGAGCTTAAATTCCTGCAGCTATATAATTCCTCATTCACTTAAAGAGGAGGAAGTGCGTTCCCCAGCCAACCTCAAACAAAACTCCACTCAGATAAAGCCAAATTTGGATACTGCTCACCTTGTATCAAGCACTGTAGCCAGGGGAATGGTATTTACTGATTAGCTTAGTTTGGGCCTTTGTTAAATTCCTTTGTCTGAAGTAATAATGGGAACTAAGGGAAACGGGATCATGCTGATTGGTTCGGGCCAATGACAGCCTACTCACAGAACCACCTGGCTCTGCAAAGCCACAGAAAAGAATGGATGCTGGAGAAACCATCCCAGCATTCACTAGAAGTGGACAGTTTGAAGGGCCTGCAAAAGGTATGTTTCATTTTATTTTTTTAAATCCTCACTCTAGGATATATTTATTAATTCCAGAGAGAAAGGAAGAGAGAGACATTGATGTGAAAGAAACATCAATTGGTGGCCACTCGAATGTGCTCTGATGGTGTATCTCCTGCATGTGCCCCAACCGTGGGCTGAACCCACAACCCAGGCTTGTGCCCTGAGAACTGAATCCATGACATCTTGGCCCACAGGATGATGCTCTAACCAATTGAGCCACACCAGCAGGAGTCATTTTAGATTTTAACTGATTATGCTAAATTGTCCTCCGAAAATCCTGTACCAATTTACAATTCCCATCAAGTGTATGAGAAAGTCTATTTTCCCATATGGGAATATTTTAGATATTAATAATTTCTTTTTTCACCAATTTGATGGGTGAAAATTATTTTGCTTTAGTCTATATATTTTTTTAATTTTTTTAAAGATTTTATTTATTTATTTTTAGAGAAGGAAGGGAGGGAGAAAGAGAGAGAGAGAGAGAAACATATCAATGTGTGGTTGCTGGGGGCCGTGGCCTGCAACCCAGGCATGTGCCCTGACTGGGAACTGAACCTGTGATGCTTTGGTTCACAGCCTGTGCTCAATCCACTGAGCGATGCCAGTCAGGTATATTTTCTTGATTACTACTGAAGTTATACATATTTTTACACTTTTTTATTTTTATTGATTTATTGGCCATGTGAGTTCCTTCTTCTGTGACTAAAAATATTTAAAGGTCATTTGAAAAGCAGATTTTAGCTTGACTATTGATGATTTTCCTCTGTTGTCTGTTCTCCTACCTCCAGAAAACAAAGGCAAGCACCAGATTCAGATAATATAGTTTGGCTCAAAATATATTTTAGATCAAAAATTATTTTGTATTTGGAAATGAAACCTAGCCAGAGGAATGTATTTTAGTTTTAATTATACTTTTTAAAAAATATTGTATTCATTTATGTTTAGACAGAGGGGAAGGGAGGGAGAAAGAGAGGGAGAATGTGTGGTTGCTGCTCACGTGCCCCCTACTGAGGACCTGGCCTGCAACCCAGGCATGTACCCAGACTGGGAATTGAACTGGTGACCCTTTAGTTCTCAGCTGGTGCTCAATACACTAAGCCACACAAGCCAGGGCTAATTACACTTTCCTACTTAAGTAAAGCAATCAGGTCCTCTTTCTTCTGTTGGGTCATAGAAGGACATGAATTAACGAGAGATAACATCCCTTTGGTAGAGGGATGAAGGAAAGTTCTGAAACGCTTGGACTTAGGGGTGGCTGCAGTTGGCCTTACGTCCATTTCACTGGGATGATACCCTACTCCTTTGGCTCTGCCTAGGACAGCCCAGTGCCACCAACCCATGATCCAGGAGGTGGCAGGAAAGCCCCACTCACTGTAACCCATATCCTTACCAAGGGGAAAAAGTGCTAAAAACCTGTGATGAATATTACCGGAGTGGTATTATCTGTTCATTTTATCCATGCAATAAACAGCTGCCTTTTTCCATTTTTAAGGAGTACTTAATCTATTTGAACTGATGGCAAGGGAGAACTTTGTTTTATTTTTTAATTTAATTTATTTTATTTTATTTTAATATTTTATTTTTATTGTTGTTCCAGTACAGTTTTCTGTCTTTTACTCCCATCCCAGCCCACCCCCCCAAGTCCTCCCCACCTCCTTCCCATTTCCACGTCCCTCCCTAGTTTTTGTTCATGTGTCCTTTATACTTGTTCCTGTAAACCCTTCCCATTCTCTCCTGAAATTCCCTCCTCCCTCCCCTCTGGTCACTATCAGCCTTTTCTCCATTTCAGTGTCTTTGGTTATATTTTGCTTGTTTGTTTGTTTTGTTGTTTAGGTTCCTGTTAAAGGTGAGATCATGTGGTATTTGTTTTTCACTGCCTGGCTTATTTCGCTTAACATAATGCTTTCCAGTTCCATCCATGCTGTTGCAAAGGGTAGGAGTACCTTCTTTCTTTCTGCTCCATAGAATTCCGTTGTGTAAATATACCTGATGGGCATCTAGGTTTCTTCCAACACTTGGCTATTGTAAATTGTGCTGCTATGAACATTGGGGAGAACTTTAATACGTACAGTAGATGGTCCACCAGATGGTACCACCAATGGAGTGGCGCACCCTGGTGGACATTGATAGTTAAAACACTCACAGTCTGGTCTTCCAGGAGTTTCAGGGGTTTAGAGCGTAGTGGGAAGCAAAAGACCAAATGCTTGTGGCTTCTGTCTCTGACTATTGTCGGGGCTCCCCTAATGTCAGCAGGTAGGCTGGTGACTCGGGTCAGCAAGGCAGAGCTTTGCTAGTGGGAGCATGGGAGTGGAAGAAGCTGTGGACTTTGCCAAGAACCCTGAATAAAAAAGAAGTTGGAGAATTATGAAAGAAAATTTGCTTCACAAGGATGAAATGTGGGCAGATGAGCAAAGGCAGGGCAGTGGAAGGCTGATTAGGCCACTTGCAAGAGTGCCAATCCAAAACAGGCTCTGAACATCTTTGGAATTCATTGGAAAGATGCTTTTCAAGTGCTATTTCTGTAAGTGGCAAAATGCGAGTCGATGCCCACAGTGAATGGAAATTTGAAAATTAGTCCATACTGACACTGGCTGTTTTTCTGGATTCTTTCAGAATGCAGCATCAGGAGTTAGCATGGTACAACCCCAGACACATTTCCAGCCTTGATGTCAGTCAGCTGATGCTGGAAAACCGAGTTTGAAAATGGGTAGGGCAAGTTGTCTGTGTTGGTTAGGGGAAATAAGCAATCTATTTTGTGTCTAAAATTTAATTAAGACTATAATATAACTCAACATGTTGATTAAAGAAAATCAATGAAAACTGAAAAGAGATGACAGAAATGGAGAAATACTTTGCCAATATGGAAACAGAAGCACTGTAAAACACAGTTTGAACATAAATTTATGACTGTTACAGCATAAAGTCTACCTCTATCCTGCATGAGCGTGAGCATCTAACATGAAGGAAAATGTGAAAGACATTTCCTAAGAAGTTGAAATTTTTTGTTATGTGCAGAACATGTAATAAACCTCTTATTTAGAACATTAGGCAAGAAGTATATAAATAGTGTTATCAGAAAATCAGTTTCTCCTCGCTCATGGAACAGATATTTAAAGAATAACAGTTTGAAAAGGCATCTCAGATAATTAGCCTCCCCAGGAAACTCATGTGTCTCGGCCTCGCTGTGGAGGAGAGATTTTACAACCTGAACTGGACTCATTTTTTTTTTTAAAGAGAGACAGACCCTACTAATAAAGCCTGAAAAAATGACAAAACTAGTCAGTTAAATGGGAGGATTCTCTATTTCTGGTTACCAGTCTGATCTATCCTCCAACAAACTATTGAAAGAGAGAAATTTTATCTTCAGTGAAACAGAGAAAGATTCATATTAGAATTTCTGAAAGAAGGTTCCACTCATGTGCCAGTGGACAGTAACTGTTTTATTTGAGGGGGTTAAGTGTACCTTATTTTTTTACCTCAGTGGAAGTTCTTTTTTGGGGGGAGAAGACTTTAAAATCCCAAGACTTCCTCTGATATGCAGAAATTGATTTGGAAGCAAATAGGTTTAACTCTCAGGAGGTTTAAAATTTCACTTATTTAACAAATATTTATTGAGTCCCTGCTGTGTGCAGGCATTGTTTTAAGTCCTGGGGATAAAAGAATAACTAAAACAGACACAATTCCTTGCCTTTAAGGAATGTAGTATTTCACATGAAATATAAAAATAAAAAAGATAACTAAGAATACATATAGAATGACTGAATGTAATTCATGCTAAGGATAAAAGCAAAGCCAGGAATGGGAGAGGAAGTGGGCGTGTGCCTGTGCATTTAGATGAGGTGGTCAGGCACCCTGGAGGTGCCGTTTTATGAGTGTGCTGAAGGAAGGGAGGGAAGCACCCATATGGGTACTGGGAAGGGCACTGTAGACAGCGGGACCAGCAAAGGCACAGGCCCCTGCAGAGGGCAGTATTCTAGAGTAGAGAAAGAAAGGAAGAGAGGAGAGCGAGATGGGATCAGAGAGGAAGAAGCTGGGGGCGGGGAGTGGGGAGGCCAGGTTGTGCAGCGCCCAGAGGGCCTGGGCACGTGTCGTAGAGGTTTCAGATGTTTGCGCTTGTTCCTTCTACAGTCCAGTTCATGCTTATCATAAATTTCCAATGTTGATATTGTGAGAGCTATTTTCTGTTTGGAAAGTGTTTAGCTCTTTCTGGTTCTTTGGCTAGCCAATGGTATGATGTATAGGGTTATATTTAAGGCTGTTTGAAATTTTTGGTTTAAATCTGCACTAGTTGGAAAAGGCAAACCATGCTATATACTAATAATATGCAGTATTCTGTTCCCTGATATGTGGTAACATTTCAGTGAAATACAGCCTTCCTCCCAGGTTTATTGAGATATAATTGACATATAACATTGTGTAGGTTAAAGGTATAGACTGTGTTGATTTAGTACATTAATACATTGCTAAATGGTTATCATCATAGCGTTAGCTAATACCTCCATCCTGTCACATAGTTACTGGTATTTCAGGAGTGAGAGCATTTATGATCTACCCTCTTAGCAACTTTCAAGAATATAGTATAGTATTACTAGCTATAATCATCATGCTGTATATTGGGTCCTCAGAATTTGTTAATCTTATGACTGGAAGTTCGAACACTTTGACCAGTATCTTCTTGTAACCCCCATCTCCCAGCCCTTGAAACAGAGGAACACCACTCCATTTCTCTGATATAATATTTTTTTTAGATTCCACATATAAGTGATATCATATAACGCTTGTCTTTCTCTGCCTCACTTCACAGTGATTGATTGCTTAATGCACTTTGGTAACTATTAGTCAATAAAATATTTGAATACTTGTTTGATAAATGAAATATAGAATTATAAGGATGATACACATACTGATTTCTTTTACTGTGGAGCATGTAAGAAATTTCAACTCACATATCACTTTGAGTAAAATCTATGAATCTTAACTGACATAATACTATCTCCTATCATAGGGTCCACATTAAAAATTTGCCAGTTGTCCCAAAAGCATTCTTCATGGCGACCTCTCCCTCTCCTTGCCACCTCCAGGATCACATTTAGTTGTCGCGTCTCTTAATCTTCTTTAAACTGTGTCTACCATGACGTCTGCGTTTTTTAAGATTACAGGGTGGTGGTTTTGTAAATGTCCCTCGTTTCAGGTTTGTCTGATGATTACATTCAGGTTATGACTTTTTAACATAATTAGAACTTTAGACTCACATAAGCTATTTTTGCCACAAAGCAAAAGATGAATTTAAAAGTTAATCACACCCCTCCCACAGACTCCCATCGCTTCAAAAGCAGCCATTCCCACCTGTATGCTAAGAGGAACACATTTGATACTCTAGCTCACTTTGAGGTATTAGTGGCTGAGGACTATAGCTGAGTTGGTAAGCCTGCTAGATATCACTGTATTTTATTTTTTTATTTTTTTATATTTTATTAATTATTTATTTTTAGAGAGAGGGGAAGGGAAGGAGAAGGAGAGGGAGACAAACATCAATGTGTGGTTGCCTCCTGCACACCCCCTACACCGGGGACCTGGCCCACCACCCAGGCATATGCCCTGACTAGGAACTGAACCAGCAGTCCTTTGGTTCACAGGCCTGCGCTCAATCCACTGAGCCACAACAGCCAGGGCTGTGTTTTAAAGAAAAATTTGTTAACCCAAAAGATGCAATTTCTTAAAAAAGTCACGAAGGGCTATGCTTTTGCTTGGAGTTGTGGGCTGCTTTTCATATAGGCCACTCTATACATATTCAAGGGTGAAAATGATGCAGTTTTACCTAGCGTTATTTTGTGAATCGCCCCCACTATGAAACCCAACTACGGTAGTCTGCTTTCTATATTAGGTGCGATGACTAATTCATTGAAGCTGTTTGTCTATCTTTAGTTTGTCTTAGTTTTCCTGATGTTGAATATCACGTAGCAAGGCCTTCAGGGACTCATTTCAGAGCAGTTAACTTTTGGATTGCCAAAGTTCTAATGTTTGGGGAGAGAAAGCCCAGTCAAATCAGATTGGTTGTGGAGAGTCAGAGCTCCTGCGAGAGCACTGAGGGCCTAGGTGGGCAGTGGTGGGGGTGGGAGGGGGTGTGGTTCTGAAAGGGAGTGAGGGTCACATGCAAACCTTTCTCTGTCTTCAAGTTTGTCCGAAGTTGGCCCTCGTCTACTTATGCCTCACTAACCAAAGAGAAAGCAAAAAAGGAAGCAAGTTTATTGACACAATATAAAATTTCTTAATGAGGATTTCAAGTACAGGTTTTATTGAAACCTGTTATTTTGAAGCAAATATCTGTTCTTATAATGAAAACTTGCTATGAAGTGAGTAAAGGAAATAGGTTTTTTTCTTCCTTCTTGTCTTAGTGCAGCAAAGAAACACAGCCATCTCTTTCTATTTCCTAGGCAACATTCCCAGTGACCTCACGTCTTTATGTTCTTTTTGTCCTTTTGTAGAAGCAGCAGCAACAGTAGTAACTTTTGCACCTAGTTCTTGGGAGGCACAGGTGTCAGACACAGACCATCTGTGCAAAACCAAGTGTCTACATTACAGGCAAGACGAGTGGCACAAACAGGAGGTGGTGTTTCACAGAATGGCTGAAGAAATAACCAGCGAATGCAGTCCGCGGGGTGTGTTGCTTACATCGCACCCTAGGAACACAAGGTTCCTGTAGTTCAGTAAACTCATGTCTGTGGAGTCCTAGGGTTAGCAGAACATCCTGTAAACTTCATCAGACTTTTGAGCCCTGAACCATGTTGAAAGTCCTAGGGGAAGCATATTATTTAAGCTAGTATCTATATGCTGATAAGGAGAGAAAGTGAGATACTTGTCAAGCTAATTTGCACTGGTTGCTTAAAAAATTAACATTAAAGTACATTTAGATATTATAATAAACAAGAGTTGGGTGGTTAGGTCATTTGGTTTATGACAGCTTTAAAGTGTTATTTATGGTCATACAGTCAGACTTCCCATAACCTTGTTTTGCTTTTATCTTTATAATTTCTTTTTGTTGTTGTTAGATAACTGAGTGGATCTTGCAAGTTCTCATCACAAAGAAAAATAAATTTGTAACTGTGTATGGTGATGAAGTTAACTGGACTTACTGTGGTGATCATTTTTTGCAATATATACAAATATTGAATCATTACATTATACATCTGAAACCAATATAATGTTATGTCAATTGTGCCTCAATAAAATATGGTAAATGAATAAATAACTACTATTATATCACTGCCAGAGATGCTTTAAATAAAGCTTTCATTTTTCTAGAATTTCTTTTAAAGTTCACTTTGTAATGCACCTTGCAAAGTATTTCAGTGAATATAAAAAGGTATCATTAAGTCTTCACTTGGTTTACAACAATCTCAATTTATTTAAATGCTCCTGACTCTAATTTCGAAGACCGAGCTGATTCTTCTGGCATTTCAGTATGGATGGGAATGACTAGAACCGCTCATTTAGGGATTTTATCTACCTAAATACTCTGTGAGCATAAAATACTGGGAATAAGAATAATGTGGCTATTGCTCCTATTTCGCAAACTTGAACAACCTGTACAGCAATACCTTCAATGCCGACAGTGAGAACCATTTATAGTCAGTGGTGTTTAAGATAATTTTCAAAATCAGTAGTTTTAGTTTGGAAAGAGAAAACAGAAATCTTTTTATAGTCTTTTCTGAGGTATTGGTTTCTTTTGCTTCAGCAGGTTTGGGGCTTCTCTCTTCCATCTGTTTTCCTCAGATGAGCTTCCTCTCCTGAATCTTCTTCTGGGGAAATATCTATAATGTGGAATAAAGTGACTGTTTGGCCAAAAAAAAGGATGGAAGTGAAAACGGTGGTTGCACCTTGGAGGAAGGAAGGGCCTGTTTGGAAACCCAATGTGGACTCTGGGCCTCCATGTTGGAAAAAAATAGAAAGGACCCTTGGGTGCCCTTGTGACAGGCTGGATCCTTGTCACCGGTTTCCTGGTGGTAGGTGGAGGGGTGAGTGTAAAGATCTGGCAGTCCGTAGAATCCACATTGTCTTGTGAGCCTCCCGGAGGGGTGACTGCCTCTTGTCCTGCGGGGAGAAAAATACAAGTCAGAAAGCAGGCCTGAGAATGAAAGCAGAAGGGAGATGCTTGAGGGGTAGCAGGGGAGCAAGATTAGAAGAGAGAAATGAAGCGGTCTCAAAGCATGTTTGGAAGAACTGCCAAGGTTCAGTGAGATGAAACGTGGATACATATTATGGCCCCACAATTGCACTCTAGGGGTTCACCTGAGACAAATGAGTGCATGTGTCTACAAAAGGCTAGTTCAAGGGTTTTCATAGCAGCCTTATTCATGTTAGACTAAACTTGGAATCAGTACAAATGTCCATCAGTAGGAAGCTATGTAAACAGACTGCGCATATTCATAAAATGAAATACTGTACTACTCAGCAAAGAAAAGGAAGAGTTACTAATACAACCACATGGATGTATTCCATGGATGTTATGTTGAGCAAAAGTTTCCATTTTTATGAAGTTCAAGAACAAGCTAAACTAACCTAGGATTTAAAAAAAACTTAAAAAAAATAGCTTAGAGTTAGGGTAGTTGTTACTTAGCGGAAAAAGTAATCAGGGAACTCTTTAAATCTTGATCTAGGTTTGGAGACATGGAGATGAAGATTACATATATATTATATATACACACATACCACATATACACTTGTATACATTTATATATACATGTGTACACATATGTTTATACACACATATATGTCTGTATGTGTAAAATGTGATCAACCAGTATCTTTAAGTTTTGTGCATTTTACAGTCAGTGAAAGACAAGTACCATATGATTTCACTTATACGTGGAATCCAATGAACAAAATAAACTAACAAACAAAATAGAAATAGATTCATAGATACAGAGAACACACTGACAGCTGTCAGAGGGGAGGTGTTGGGGTTGGAAAAGGTGATGGGATTAAGAAAAAAAAAACACAACCCTCATAAACAGACAACAGTATGGTGATTACCAGAGGCAGAGAGTGGTGGGGTGAGGTAGAAGAGAGTAAAGGGGAGGTATATGGTGATGGCAGGGGACTTGACTTGGGGTGGTAAACACACAATAAACTATACAGATGATGTATTACAGCATTGTGCCCCTGAAACCTATATAATTTTATTAACCAATGCCACCCCAATAAATCGAATTTATTTAAAATATACAGAAAATTAGTTGGAAAAAAGAACTTAATGTTAAGAAAATAAAAATAGGCCAGGCCAGTATAGCTCAGTGGATTGAGTGTCAGTTTACAAAACAAACGTTCACCAGTTTGATCCCCGGTCAGGGCACATGCCTGGGGTGCAGGCCAGGTCCCTAGTTGGCGGTGTATAAGAGGCAGCCAGTCGATGTTTCTTTCCCTTTCTTTCTCCCTCCCTTCCCCTTTCTCTAAAAATAAACAAATAAGATCTTTTAAAAAAAAGAAAAGAAAAATAACTGCTGCCACTCCCACCCCCCTCCCCAAAGTTCCATTAATCCAAAAGGCCTGCTTCTCTAGCCCCAGCAGGGAAATCATTCCCTTTGGAGGAAGGAGGGAGCCTCTACGTGCAGCAGCAGAATGAACACTGAGGACCAGGATGACATTAGCATCTGAGAAGAAAATTCTGATCAAGTTCAAGTGTCAAGTTCTTCCCTTTGGCTATATCATCTAATCTATTTGGCTATGAAAAAGTTAGCTTCCCTTTAGAAAATTATTCCTTCACTCCCCTAAAGACTTCAGCCTGGAAATGTTGGCCTGGAAAGGACTGCTGAGTGTGAATGATGGGAAAATGAACTCCCCACAGGAAGTTGGGAGTACTGAGGCATTTAAAAAGGGCTAGATCGCCCTCACTGTTAGACAAGCTGAATTCAGGTTTCTTAGTTGTATTGGGTATGCCTATTGCCCCCTGTGTTCACAGCCGCTTACAGAGATTCTGTTTCACCCACAATCCTTGGAAAGGTCAGTCCTGCACACCTTTGGCTAGGCCTGATTGGACTGCTGTTAGACTCTCAATTCATTCATTGGCTGGCCATTGACCAATCAGATTCCCATTTGGTAATTTTAACAAAAAGATACAGTTAGTGGAAGGTGTAGGGAAGGGGCTGGAGTGTTAGGTTTTGGCCAGTTCATTGTGGAATAAGCAGAGAAGCCAGTGTTTCCAGAGAAACTATAAAATGGGGAAGGCCTCTCAAAGAGAACCTTTGGTAACAGTGATGATGAAAGTAGCTTGGTTTTTGACTTTTCAGGGCTGGTCCAACTGAGGGCTGGCTATACTTCAGGTTCTTGGAGACATTCTTATAATAATCACTCCACCTCCAGTTTTACTCTTTTTAAAAGCTCACTTGAATGAATGTCTGTTCCTTGAAGAAAATACTGACTCTCTCCCAGACCATCCAGGCTACTGAATATTGAAATTCTATGACTGAAACTAGATTAAGACACTTCAAATTACAGAAGATGATTAAATCCCACATTACTCATTCTTTCTACCTATGTAATTGGATCAGTTCTGAACATTGTAACACAAAAACCTTCTGCTGAGGATCCAATTGCTTGGGGAGAAGCTAGCTTTCTTCTTCATGCGGATCTTGATATTTTGTTATCAGATCAGGTTTAGCTAGACCTTGAGCTCTGCAACTCTGGAAGCTGCAATCCAGCTGTTCAAACCAACCAGCCAACTAGCCAACCAGCCAACCAACCAACCAATCAGCCAACTGATCTACCCTTGTGCCTATCTCATTTCTTAAAACCCAATGCTACTCTCCACATCCTCCAACTGACAGTGGGGTCTTGGAGCCCACTAGGCTGCTTTTTTCTGACTCTGGGATGTCCATCAGTGTTCAGTGTTCTCTTCTGGGAATTTCTAAGGGCTCAAGATCAAACATGCCTGTCGCATTAACCAACCTAAGAATGTGTGCAGGACCACATAAAACCACATTCCCCCAGCAGACTAGATACAGGGTGGCTATTTCAGGTCACTGATGGGCTAGCACAAGTGTTCCAAAATGTGGGAGCCATAGGGGTTGATCTGGGAAACTCACAGTTTCCTTATAAGGTTAAGGTCACCCATCTGAGTGAGTGGGTGGATGCCCTTCAGTCTCCAGCTTTGACTTACTTAATACTTCTCATTAATTCTTTTGTTTACCATGGTTGTGCTCAGTTCCCACTGCCTTCTAAACCCTTAATACTCTTCTCAAAGCCACTTCAAAATTCTCATTCATCTTCATTTATTTGAAGAATTCTCTTTAAAATTCTCTGTACCTTTCTAAGTAGATTATTTAGCAACCTTTTTCAGAGAGAAAGCTTCGGTAACCCTCATCAGTCAGATGATTACTCTACAGAGGTTATATTCCTTCTCCACTGAAATATCCACTTAACCACATCTTGCAGACCTCATCACCAGCACGGTGCCTAGAATAGAATTCATCAATTGGCAGAGATCTCAGTTTCTATAATTGCAAAGTTACCATGCTTCTATCTCTCAGGGATAATGTGATTGCTAATAAGCAAATAATTCTCATTATGTGACATACAGACATACCACTCAAAGTTCTCAATGTCAAAGACGAGAGCTCTTCTGCAACCTCATTCAGACCAAAGTAGGTCAAATATTTAAATGCAGGTTAAAAACATTTTGAGAGGCAGAACAGCATCGTGTCTAAAAGCGTAGGCTCTGGAGCTATAGGTTTCCTGAGCTCTGCCATCTAATAACTGTGACCAAGACAGGTTTCTGAGCTCCTCTGAATCTCCTTCTCTTTATGTGTAAAATGAAGAAATTAATACCATCCATCTAACAGGTTTGTTGTGTTATCTGAAATGAGATAAGTGCTCAGAACATCCCTGACCCACAGTATGAATTTAGTATAACATTCATCTTGAATGTTATAGAAAGATTCTGTTGGCAGGAGGTGCATTTTCTTGGTTCCATCTGGTTGCACTTTATACATAAAATCTGTGTACTGTCGATAGGACTGAAGGGTACTGATCTTATTACAAAGGACCTCCATGAAGTCAGGGACTATTGACTTTGTTGGTCATGACTATGTCCCTAGCACCTGGAATAGTTCTGGCTTACAGTGGTGCCCAGGGCATAGCTGATAAATTAAATGAATGGCCAGGCAGATGCTGAATTCTACTGTCTGTGGATTTTTGTAAAGCTCAGTGAGTATTTAATTCTAGTCCTAGAAAATTCACAATAACTTAGATTTAAAATTAGAGTAAAGTAAAAAGTTAAACCAAAATACTGCTTAGAATTTGTATATCAATTTGAAATGGGTTTATCATAGTCTAGACATAAAACTCATGGCATACCAACAACTAGTACTTTTTTAAAAAGTAAGATGAGAAGACCTTTTTTAAAAAGTATATATAATTACATGTAGTCTGTGGTTGTTTGGGCAGACAATAGCTGGGTCATAGTGAACTATGCTGATTTTAAGGTAAGTAAGCTTCATGCTTGACTTATGATATGCAATTCTCCCTTTACGTGGAACATGGAGTATTAGGAACATTCTCTTATGCTTTGGAGTGGAACCAGAAAGAAGTATAAATCCTGTCATTAATTAACTCATGACTCAACTCAGCTTGATTTTAACTTGGTTAACTGTAACTCATTTCATTTTTTAGGCTCACAGAATGACTGGCTCCCTTGGTCAAATCTCTGATTTTACAGGTAAATTATTCAGAGCCCAGAAAGCATCACAGAAGCCTATTTCAATTCTCTGCTAAGAGTCTAATCATTATTCAGCAGGGTGCAGGTTCCTATGTTAGGTGCTGCGGCAAATGCAGAGATGATAAAACACGGCCTGAGCTCAGAAGTATAGATATTCTGCAAGTTCACGGGTGATGTACTAATTTTTATAAGTAGACTTTGAGGTTAGAGAAAGGGAGAGGTTGCAATTTTAAAATTGTCAATACTATAGTGACATTTAAACATCATCATGTGCAGCAGAATTGCAATAAACAGAGGTGAAAACAGGAGGAGGCAGCCACAGCCTGCCAGAGAGAGGAGAGAGGCCGAGGGCGAGGGTGTGTGGGAGTGGAGGGGGGAACCAGGGTGGCCTGGGTAGAGGGAAGCTACAGTTGAAGGACATCGATGCCAGACTGAGGGCCAGAGGGGAAGAGCGAGTCAAGTTCAGAAATCAATTCTTACATTTTAATTGGTGTTTTTTAAAATGTGAATAAAGTTCTAATTTCATTAGAACCTGTTTAGCTACAATTTACAGAGTTTCCTGATGAATGAATGGTTCGCTTTCTGGAAAGAAGGTGGCTAGTTCTGTCTTATGGTGCCTCATTACCATTAGCAAGTGATGCTTGGGGGCCTTGTCCTGGAATCGATGGGACAGGGCTTAGGTGTGGGCTCTGTGCCCTTGTCCCTGATCACCAGAGTTCATGTAGAGATGGCTCAGGATGAGCTCTGGAGGTCTGTCCAGCAGCTCTGTTATCTGCTCTGTCGTGAGCATTGGCCAGTGAAAGCAGAGAATTGTTGGGGCTGACTAACTTCTGGCTGGGTCCCTGCAAAGCCCCCAGGGGCATGTGATGGGAGAAGGATTCATTTCGACTCCAGGGTCTCTAGTCCCTGAACCGCATCTGGTTCCAGAGCTGAGGGGAACTGAGACATCAGACCCAGGTCTCCCAGGATCTCCTTCCTCTCTCTTGCCCCTTCTCCTCCCTTCCCTGTCCTTGTCTTTCATTTCCTCAGGTGTCTCTAAGCCAATTTGAAGGCTCAGGCCACTTGGAAGTTTCCTAGTGGAGGAAAGGGAAAAGAATAGGAGGAGGGGAGAAATGGAATCTAATGTAATCCTAGAGAAAGAAATCTGCTCACTGGAGGAGCACCCAAGCACAGGTAAATAGATGTGATTAATTAAAGCAGCTGACAAGCAGAGACTAAACACCCACCATGTGCAAATTACTGTGCTTCTGGGGGTAGAAAGAGGTGGACATTGCTACAACCCAAGATGGCAAATTCTCAGCTTTAGAGCAATGGTAACTTGAATTCATATAGCATTTTAAGACTGAAGAGCTTCTCGTGCATGATAGCTCATTTGGTCCTCACCACCCCTATCATAATGCATGTTATTCATACTGTCACTTCACGAATGAAGAGACTGATGTCAGAGAGGTTTAGTATGTCCAAAGTCACAGAGTTAGTGATGAGACCGAAGACCAAGGTCTTCAGATGATAAAATTCAGCCTCTTCCTCTTTAACCACACAGGCTGGTAGAAGCTGACATAAATATTTTCAGTTTATGGACATGTATAATCATGGAGTGAAATTTTATCTTTTCACACAACTTATTGATTAGTGGGACCACAGTAGGATGAAAACAAAACCCTTACCTTCTGCCACAGTTACCACCAACCAGCAGGCCAACAGCCAGTAGGAGAAGCAGAGCTTGTGAGCCATGGCCTCCGCCCTGAGCAGTGGCTGCCTTGAACCCATCCCTGGTTTAAAGGGGAGCTGGTGAGTCACCAGCAGCCTGAGTCAGGTAATGTGCATGTGCATAGTGGCCCACCGTGGTCAGGGCCTGCGGTGTGAGGCTGAGAAATCAGCAAGGAAATGCCAGAAAGTATTTACCAACCAGAAGCTTCTTGTAATGACAGCCAAACATCATTCACCCGTCCTCGGAGTCAGACTGGAGACAACCACGCCTTCCCTGTTCTCTTATGGTAATTCCTTCAAGTCTCCTCCACCGTCTGTGCCTTTTTTACTTGTGTGCATTACCCAGATTCTAAAGGCTTCCTGACTTAGGTGCTTTAAAGCAGCTGTTCATAGGCCTCTGAGCAGGGTTTAGGGCTTCTTCTCCTCTGCTTTTGTCCAGGGGCCAAAGGCAGCAGAAATTTATCTTCCCCAATAGCCTTCATGGTAACTGTCTAAACAAACACAAAAGTCTGGGTAGATTAACTTAGAGAGTTGCCCTTCCAGCGCTCCTTCTTATGCACCAAGTTGCCAGAAAGATGAACATGATACATCTGTACCCATTTTTTTCCTGAAAGGGCTATCAACTGCCGGGGCAGTGGAGGGGATGGCCACAAGTGATTAAAAGTGTGGGCCTTGGAGTTACAAAGAACTGTCTCCAGCCCTACCTGGTGTGGCTCAGTGGACTAAGCGCCAGCCTGTGAACTGAAAGGTCTCCTGTTCAATTCCCAGTCTGGGTGTATGCCAAGGATGCAGGCCAGTTTCCCATTTGGGGACTTGCGGGAGGCAACTGATTGACATAGAACCAACCATTGTACCTGGCCTGTGGAAGGGAGGGGTTGGGTTGTTACAAAGTTATACTGACTCCAATTTCCTGTTCTCTTAGGAGGCGATACCTACCAAATCATTCAGTGGCTCAAAAGGCCTCCACGTGGGGCAGAACGTTTTCTTGAACGTTACAGAATGAACAACACAGAACGCAGTCCCTGACTTAGAAGAGCTAACAGTCTAACTAGGGAGACTATGTGAACCCAGAACCGGAATGAGTAAGAAGGCAAATACTCATAATTAGAAAATGGCAAATTCCACAGGCTTGATGATAATTCTGGGCAAAGTTCTAGAGCAGAGGATTAAACAGGCAATTTGTCAGCAGTTTGGAAAGGAAGCAGGGATCATCCAGCTCAAGCTCCTCTCCTCAGATGAAGGCATTCCGCAGCTGCAACAGGTCTCTGCTGACCATGTGTCAAGTACCAAACCAGGGGCTGGGTGCGGGGGCTGAAGACAGGGTTCCCACGCTCATCGAGTGCACACTCTGGCCGGGACATGAAATGTTAACTGAGTAATAACAGTAAGGGGTTTTGAGTGTTGAGAGAGAGTAAGTACTGGAGGCTCTGAAGCAGAGCAACAGAATCTGTCATTTTACGTCACCGGGTGCGCGTTACAGGTGCCCCTTTGGCCCCTGTGTTGGAAACACCATGCCGTGCCGATAAAGTCAGATCCACGTCATCTCTTTCTCTCCCGCCCAGTGTTCAGTTTTAGGGACTTATTGTACACTAACCAAACTTTCAGTTGATGGATATTTATATTATTTCTTTCAATTGTCTTTCTTTTCAATATTAGATTTTAAGGAGCTTCCAATTTAAATGTTGATGAAAATAAATAACAAAAACAAATGACACATTTTCCCCATTTGCATCTTTGTCCTGAAATTTATAAAATAAAGAAACACAACTTCAAAAAGGACACATTTTTAAATCTTTCTTAAATTCTTATTTGGCATAAAATCCTTATATATTTCTTTACTGTTGATGCATGTATACAATAACTAAGAATTGCTACATCTTATTTATTTATATGTTATCTGTGGAGTGAAACCAAATATTTAACATTATATAAAATCAATACAACTTTTGTGAGGTTACCAGGTTATCAAATTCATGTGCAAAGATCTTTAACTTAAAAAAGAAATATTTCTGAAAACTTATTGCAAATGTGAAAACTTTTTGATAAAAGTATCTTTTTAGTCATATACTTTAAAAATCCGTGAACCATAACTGTATCATTTAGTGGAAGGCCTATGAGTGAGATGCAAATTTCCATATTCCCAAGGTCAAGAAAGCTCTAATGGCTCTGGGTCACTGTGGTTGGTCCAGCGTGTTAAGGGGAAAGGCGCATGTGGAGAGTGGGCGTTGGCATTTTTATAACAATAACTTTATGAGGAGGTGATGTAGAACTCCATAGTAGTTACATTTGTTTCCCAAAGACTCAGCTATTAACTGTGGGGCTGGGTTCAGAACTGAGATTTTTCTTCTAACGCATATGTTAACTTTGATTTAAAAATCCATTCATTCATTTACTCACTAATTAACTAATTAATTAATTCATATTCTTATTTTAATGGACTTTTGTTTTATATCCTGTGGTTTAACAGTCTGTGAGGAAAGAAGCTCTACCCAGCCAGAACCATTTAGAAATGGCCCAGGAAAGAATTCTGGTTGGCTGAGTTTGTGTCTGCAGAAGGGAAAGAGGGGTTGGCTACTAGAAGAAGGGGGCGTGGACAGAGACTGGACCACGGGGGATTTGGGCCAAGGAGCTCCCCTGATTTGTGTCCATTACACCTACAATGTCACGTGACCCCAGGATGTGTCCTTGCCCGTCTCCAGTAAGTGTCACTTACACAGAATGCCTGCGAACAGGCAAAGGCCAATCAATGCTCCTGTGGAAAATAAAAAAGAACTTTTTATCACTAAATGGCTGGGATTGCTAAAATACAGCAATATTTATCATGCATTTTTGGGGAGAAACAGTTGTTGGTGACTGAAGGGTCACGTGGTTCAACCACCTCTTGGTATGTGACCTTGTTCCAACCAAATGCCAACCAAGATGGAATTTTCATTGCTTCACTGGGTCCCAGGTCTGCGTCTAGGCTTCCCGGATAAAAAGTTTCCCATACTCTGTAGTGGCACGGTCCAGCACAGAAGGAACCCTGGTCTAAGGAGGCTTTCCGGACTTTTTAGAGAAGCGTCGCTCATGTCCTTCTCCCAGGTTTGGGACCCAGAGAAGCACGGAGGTTTTTTGGTTTTAGTTGTTTTTTTTTTAAGATTTTATTTATTTATTTTTAGAGAGAGGGGAAAGGAGGGAGAAAGACAAGGGAAGAAACATTGATGTGAGAGAGAAACACGCACCCCAAATCCACAGCCCAGGCATGTGCCCTGCCTGGGAGTCAAACTGGCAACATTTCGCTTTGCAGGATGATGCCCCATCAAAGGAGCCACACAGTCAGGGGGAGAAGCAGGGAGTTTGGGGCTGGAGAGTGTTGCTTCGTGGATGTGTACTTTTTTTCACCATTCATTCAACAACTATTTATGTGCCAGACACTGTTCCTGATGAATGAAACAGAAAAAAGTACCTGTTGCGGTACAGTTACCATTCTAGTGGCATGGAGACAGAGAGTAAACAATAATTGTAACAAAGGAGTAAATTATATAATATGGTAGACTATGTTACAATGTCACAATATTTTGTAGTATGTACTATAGAAAAAATTAAAAATAAGAGTAAAAAACGGTGGGTGTCCCAGTTTTAAGTAGAAGATGTTTGAACAGGGGCTTGAGGGAGGTGGGGAAGCTATTCATGAGGCTCTATGGGGAAAAAGCATTTCGGGCAGAGGGGACAGTCAGTGCAAAGGTCCTGGGACAGGAGCAGGCTCGCCGTGTAACGTACAACCACAAAGAGGTGTTGTGACTGGGCAGAGTGAGTCCAGGGGGACCACAGCAGGGTGAGGTCAAGGGGCAATGGATCATTACGTGAAGCCACTGGAGGATTTTGGGGAGGCACAGTGTGATCTTACTTACATTTTGAAAGGACAACTCTGGCCACTTGTGGAGAACAGACTGCTGGGTGTGGGAAGTCCAGTTATGATAGACTGAACTGTAGCAGTGGTGTAGGGGGGCGATGGCGGTGACTCAGACTGGGGTGGTAGCAGTGGAGGTGCGGGAAACAGGGAGATTCTGGACATGTTTTGAAGGTAGAACTGACAGGATTTCCTGGTGAACTGGAAGTAGGGTGTGAAAGACGGGGGAGTCATGAATCACAGCAAGGTTTTTGGTCCGAGGGTTGGACTGCTGTGGTTGGACATGATCAGGTGGTGAGATTATGGTTAAATTTTTAAATGCTGCTATAATATTGCTTTTTATATCAATAAAATGGGAAGAAAGGCATACATTAGTGCATTAGTGACCTAATACTAACACACTTTAACATTTCAGACAAGTCATTAGTCTGAGGAGCAGTCCTGTGAAGTGGCAGGCCCAGAGAAGTGAGATAGTCATGTCAGGGCAGTAAGAGGAGCTGGCTTGCAGCCCGACTGACGGTGTGCTTGATGGTTCTTATGTCCAGAGCAGCTTTGCTCAGAGGGGAGAGAAAGGATGAGGTGAGCAGGTGAGTGAAGCCTCTCTTGACCCAAGAGGGCTCTGGGTTCTCTGGCTTGCCCTGTCTTACATGGGTGAGCCCTACATTAAAAATGTGCTTTGTATCTGTCTTCTCTCTCTCTCTGGACTTGAGATCCTTGATGGCGAGAACTAAGCTGTTTTAATTTTTTTTTTAATTTTGTTTTTAAAGGGGGTGGGGAGGCAGAAAACTGTACTTGAACAACAATAAAAAAGTTAAAAAATATTTAAATTTTGTTTTTAAAGATTGTATTTGTTTTTAGAGAGAGGGGAAAGGAGGGAGAAAGGGAGAGACACATCAATGTGTGGTTGCCTCTTGAGTGCCCCCTACTGGAGATCTGGCCTGCAACTCAGACATGTGCCCTGACTGGGAATTGAACCAGTGACCCTTTGGTTTGCAGGCTGGCACTCAATTTACTGAGCCACACCAGCCAAGGCTTTTAAATTTTTTAAATTTTAAATTGTGATAAAATAGACAACATAAAAATGACCATTTTAACCACTTTTAAGTGTACAGAAGAACTGAGTCTTAATTCCAGC